AGAGGTTGTTGAAGAGAAGAAAAAGGTCAAAAAGGCAAAGAAGCCCAAAGCAACCGTTGAAAAGACTGATGTTGAAGAACAGCCTGAAGAGGAAATTCCAGAAGAAGAGCTTATTGAAGAACACGAAGAGGTTGTAGAGCAAGAAGAAATTTTGGAAGAGAAGCGAAAGGTGAAAAAGGTGAAGAAACCAAAGAAGACTTTAGATACTACCGAAGTGGAAGAAGCTCCTCAAGAGGAAGAAATAATCGAAGCCCAGGAAGAAATTCTAGAGGAGCAACAAAAGACGAAAAAGGTCAAGAAACCCAAGAAGAAGGTGACCGAGGAGGAGACCGTAGAGGAACCAGAGCAGGTTGAGGAGCCGCAAATCGAAGAGATTGAAGAACCCGTACCTGAAGAGCCCAAGAAGCCTAAAGAAGCGCCTAAAGCCGAGGAAGTTGAGCAAGTAGAGAAGGTTTCGCTCAAACCTGCGCCGAGGAAACAACGCCCTCTGCCCGAGAAAGAACAAGTAGAAGAGGTCACGCTAAAACCCGTGAAAAAGACCGCCGTTGTGTCAGAAACCTCACAGCCTGAAGCCTCGGAAACGGAATTCGAGGTGAAAGAGTTCGTTGTTACCACCGAAGATCAAATCGTGGACGTGACTAAGAAGCGCGTTAAGAAGAAGAAACCTAAGGTAAAGAGTGCTACTGAAGATTCCACTGAAGAGCCAGTTGAAGAAGTTGAAGAATTTGAGGAGGAGGAAGCTCAACCGGAAGAGGTGCAACCAGTCGAAGAAATTCGCGAAGTACTTCCTGTCGAAGAAGTTCTTCCCGAACAAAAGCTTGCACCCAAGCCAAAGCCACGAAAAGAAGAAATTGTCGAGAAGGTTGAAGAGGTTGCCCTTAAGCGAGTCATTCGACCAAAGAAAGAGCTGCCCCAAGAGGCGACGATCGAGGAGGTGCGCTTGAAACCAACTCAACGCACATCAATCAAGCCCGAGGAAGTCACGTTGGAGGAAGTGGACCTGCAACATGTCGAGAGAAAGGAGGAAGAGATCGTCCAAGAGGAGAAGCGTAAGATCAAGAAGGTGAAGAAGCCGAAACACGAAGACCTGCCCGAAATTCCTGATGCTGAGCCAACCCAACTTGAAGAAGCCGAACACATCGAGCTTGAAAGGGAGCCGAAGCCCGAGGAAGAGCAACCTCAGGTACCGTGGAAGCGAGGAGAAAAGAAGAAGCCGGTCGAGGAAGTATTGGAGGAAAAGAAATGGCCATCAGGTAAACGCCGTCCATTGCCCGAAGAGCAACCTGAAGAGGTTCAACTAAAGCCAATTCCATCAAAACCAGTGGAAGAGCCCCAGAAGCCCTCGAAGGCGATACCCGGTCCACAACTCGTACCAGAAGACAAACCGGAAATCGAAGAGAAGGATCTTGAACTTGAACCTCTTAAGTTGCCTGAAGACAAGCAACCTAAGGAACCCAAGGCTAAGAAGGAAAAGAAAAAGAAGCCCAAGCTGAAGACGGCCACACCCTCGGTGGACGAAGTCTCCGAAGAGGTGGCCGAGCCCTTCGACGAACCTATTGCAGAGGAAGATCAAGTGGAAGAGTTGCCAGTGGACGATGTCAAGGTTGTGGCAGTTTCAGAAGACGTGTTGCCAGAAGAGGAAGTTGTGCCCACAGAGGAAACGCCAGAGGCGAAGCAAAAGGCACACAAGAAGCGCACGAAGCGACTCAAGGAAGCATCCATCGAAGGACAACCCCAGCTGCTGGAAGCAGCCATTGCTGAAATCGAAAAGGTGGACGAAATATCGCAGGAGATCTCACAAAAGACTATTACCCTACTCAAGAAGACTGAAGACACAAGACCTCAATTTATTACGACTGAACAGCTCATCGAGCTGGATGTGGAGGACGTCCGACGTGATCTGGAGATGAAGGTGACCTCGAACATCATCAAGAAAGAAAAACGTCGCGTGGTTCTCGATGACAGTCAGCCTTTGCCTGAACTGGAGCTGATCACGCAGAAGCGCATTCAAGAGGGTATTGACAAGGTGGCCGACGAGGAGCTCATAGAGGATCAGCAGCTTACGCAGAACCAACAGGAGACGACCACCTCCGAGGTTATTGGCCAAGAACGCAAATTGGTCAAAAAGAAGAAGAAGGAGATCAAACCTCCTAGGATCACAGAGAAACTGCGTCCTCGTCAATGCGTTCCCGAAGAACCCACCGTCCTTGAGTGCAAGGTGGAGGGTGTTCCATTCCCAGAGATAAACTGGTACTTCAACGACATCCTACTGTTTGCTTCGGAGAAGTACGAGATCACTGTCGTCGAGCAGGTGGCACAGCTGAAGATTGCCAAGGTCACACCCAGCGATGTTGGCGTCTATACATGTGAGGCCAAGAACGAGGCTGGAGTGGCAACAAGTCGTACCAACATTATTTTAGGTAAGTTTCCATTAATTATAGGTTTTAAAAGGGATTTCCGTTTTCTTTTTGGTACAACGGAAATCCATCTTTTTATGAGGTTTTTAAGCCAATCTGAAATTGCAAACTTAACTTACCTTGACCCCAACCTTTATGTATATAATTCCTTAACCTTACACTACAAGCACACCAAATATTTAAATACTACTTATTCACATTGAAAACAGAAAAAGAACAAGGAGTTGCACCCCAGTTTACGAAACCACTTAAGATTGAGTTTACTGAGGAGAAGCAGCCCGAGCGGTTGAAGGTTACGGTGACCTGTCAAGTGACAGGAAAGCCAAATCCTCAGGTCAAATGGTACAGAGGTATAGAGGAAGTTATCCCCAGCGAAACAGTTCAAATGTTCTATGATGAGAAAACTGGTGATGTGGCCCTGGAGGTCATCAACCCCACGCCAAATGAAGCCGTGATTTACTCCGTGCAAGCCCAGAATCAATTTGGTCGAGCCATTGGAAATGCCAATATTCTTAGTCGGGTTGACGAAGTACCTCGGGAGATACTAAAGGCGCCCACCGTAACTCCATTGAATGCCGTTGTTGTGCCCACTGGTGGTACCCTCTTCTTTGAAGCCAAATACGACGGCCTGCCTAGGCCAGAGATCAAATGGATGCGCAACGGCCGTGAGGTTATCGAGAATGAGGAGATCATCATTGAAACCACGGAGACGACAACTACTATTAAGGTTGTAAACATGACCCGCAAACGAACTGGAAAGTATGAAATTTGGGCCAAGAACAAGGTGGGCGAAGCCAAGGCCTCAGGATCAGTGGTGGTTTCAGATCAGAAGCCCGATGAGCAAATTAGACCTCCAAGATTTATTCAACCCCTTGAACCTAAATACTTTGGCGAGCATGAAGTGGCTATTATCGAAGCGGTGGTGGACTCTGAACCACTGTCGTCATTCCAGTGGTTCGTGCATAATGAACCAGTCAAGAGTTCCAACGAAGTGCGTATCGTTAGCCAGGCTAATAAGTCAACGCTGCTGATTGAGGACTTCCAGAAGCAATTCGTCGGGCCATTTACTTGCCGAGCCGAGAATGTGGGTGGTTCGGTGACATCAACGGCCACCGTCAACCTAATTGAGACACTGCCCCAAGAGGAGGCAGTGGAATTCGAATCGCCGCGTTTCATTGAGGAACTCATCCAACCCGTAGAGGTAATGGATGGCGAAGCATTGCTGCTGACCTGCCAAGTTACTGGAAAACCCACTCCTAAGGTGGAGTGGTACCACAATGCGGAAAAGATCACTGAGAACAAGGAAACTACGATATCGCAAGACTTGCAAGGCGTTTGCCAGTTGCAGATTACAGAAGTTTTCCCCGAAAACGAGGGTCAATACGAGTGCGTGGCCACAAATAAGATTGGCAAGAGCGTGAGCAAGACAAACGTTAAAATACAAGGTACTTGTGATAGTATCTATCGGTAGTTAACTAGTTAATCAGCTGGAAGTAGTGCCACTCTACACACTACATGCATCCCCCACCTACATAGGTTTCCCAATAACTACACTCTCTCCTGACAACTGAGTTCTATGAATACCCTTTCGTACTAACTGGCCTTGTAGGCCTGCATGTGAATCTTCTGTTTTGAAAGTCTTACTATCTGTCTATCAAGTTTTTAAAATCGTTCCCTCACATTTTCCTAAACATCCCACTGATCCGCTCTTTTGTATATAATTTCCCATTTTTTGAGTTCGTTGCAACGAAGTTCCGTGTGGAGACACGCTTATATTGATAATGCTTTCGAATGTGTATTTTTTAGCATTTGAATATATCCCCGATTCTGAAATCACTGGACTCACAGGATCTGAGGAGGATCTCCTTGATAGAGTAAGCGTAATTGTTGTACTTGAGATTTCTAGCGAAGGAGTTTTCATGCTAATCTTCCAAATAACGCAAACTATTCTAGACCCTCTCAATCGACGAACAAGCACCGAAAATAATTAAAAAACTACCAGAGAAAATCGAGCCCAAAGAGGGCGAGCAAGCGAAGCTGGAGGTTAAGGTCGTTGGAAAACCAAAACCGAAGGTTAAATGGCTGCGCGACGACGAGCAGATATTCGCCTCCGAGGAATATCAGATCGAAAACTTTGAGGACGGCACCTCAGTGTTAGTTATCAACCACGTCTATCCCGATGATTTGGGTACAATTAGTTTTGAGGCATACAATCCACTTGGTGTGGCAGTGACCACGGCCCTCTTCGCCGTCGAAGGTACTAATTTGGTTTATTCCGTATACAGTGCAATCTATAATATGAATCAACTGTTATTTGGCTTTGTTAGTACAATTATTTTTCAGGTTTTTGGAGCTGCATTTTATAAAATCTCCCTTTCCCTTATTCCAACCCAATTATCCCCTTACACTTTTATGTTAAACACTTGCACCACTTTACACAATATATACTATAAAAAGGCAATACTATTTTAGGGAAAGGATAACCAGAAAAACTTTACAGATATTGTTCGTACTATTCGTCAAGCAAATATAATAATGATTTGTTGTTTATTACTTCCACCATGTTCACATCTATACCAAAAGGCATCGTTGGATCGAAGGACTACCGCAAGCCAGAATGGGTTTCTCAGATGGAGGAAATGCAGGTGGCTCTCAAAGGTATGTATCCTCAACTAATGCCAGCGCTCTGTTACCACTGTTATGTGTATATGTGTTTTAATTTCGTGTTACCAACACACAAATGTCTACTGTGCCTTTGTCTTAAACCACAAAACTACAAATATTCACAAAGTCTGTTCTCTGTCCTCTGTCTCCTGTCTTATTCTATTTTCGTCTCTATTTTGTATTTGTCCATGTATAATACGTTGTATCGTACAGCAGCAACAAATATGTGAACCTGTGAAGTGCCCTTCCCCAATCAAACTGTAGCTTTGTGATTGTCTCAGTCCCTTACAGCTCTAAGGCTTGACCCCTCCCGAACCCGAACCCGAACCCACAATGCCCTCTATGAATCAAATTATCCAAAAAGTAAACGCCAATAGAAATAGAACTTTTAGTATAAACTGAAATTTTTCTTTCCATCTTTCGTATATAAAATGTATCTCTTACAGTATCAATATCTGTATATCATCTGCAAGTAATTGGTTATTTGAAATTTGCAACTATTCTAAATTTAAGCTAACCCAACATTTTATAAGAGTGTTCAATCCAATCTAAAGAAATTTTATAACATTCCCAGAACGCTGCTTGCTCTACACTTCACATTGTGTCGAATAACCCAATGTTGCATGTATCTAAAAAAGTTTTTAGTGTTATTATTCATAGCTCTTTCTTTATCACATGATTTCAAAATCAAACAGACAAAAATGTATGCACTCAAAGCCACACAAAACCAACTCGTTGTAAATTGTTCTGTGTAAGTACACTGATAAACACGCAGCTATCCACTCCTCCCGCTTTTAGATTTTCTGAGTAGCGTCTAATCCATAGATATTATGCCATCTTTGTGCTTATAGCTGCTAAATGCTCGCCATCACTACTTAACGAAATGCGTGACTGCCGTGCTGCCTTAGGCGAAACAGCCAAGTTTACGATACAGTTTGCAGGCAACCCGATACCAGGTATTGTATGCGAAAGAGTTTTAGTTTCGGGGCCTGATGTAGCTTGGTTTCTAACCTTCCGACTTTAGATATTCAATGGTATTTCAACAACGTTCAGCTTAGGGCATCTGAAAAGTATCGCATGGTAGTGCAGGAACAGGAAGCAACGCTAGAAATAATGAAAATTACAAACGAAGACTGCGGTTACTATAACTGCAAGCTCATAAACGAGATTGGCATGGCGATGACTCGCGCCAAGTTCGACATATCATCCACAAGCACCATAGTCGAGGAGACCAAAGTCAAGACCACTGTCAAGAAGAAGGCCGGCAAAAAATCCGTAGTGAAGAGATCCGGGGCCTCAGAATCACAGACCGTGCAAAAGACAGAAATCCGAATTATTCCAGCCAGCACGGCAGAGACCACAATGAATGTGATCAAAGTAAAGCAACCCGTGTCTATACTGGTAGAGAAGAGCGAAGTATCCGAGGTTATGGAAGTGAAGGATCGTAAAGTTGCCGATGCGGAAGAGCGCAGCAGTCAGATAATCGAAGAAGTGGAAGAAATCGAAGAGGTCGAAGAGATTGAGGAGAAAATTCAGCAGGAAGAGGAAGATGAAGTTGAAGTGAAAGTAGAGCAGAAAGAAAGTTACGTATCTAGCAAAAAGATAGAAATAACCAAAACGGTAGAACTTATTCGCACGAAAATCAGCCAGAAAATCATAACCATTGAGGACGTTCAAGTGCTATCGCACCACGAAGAAGTCCAATGGCTGCTCGAGTCAATTGAGGCCGAGTCGTTTGGCCAAATTGGCGAGTCTGCCCTCAGAGATTTGGCCACGATTGGACTGCTATTGCGCTACGGCTGTGAACATTACGAGATTACCTATATGTATGAGCAAAACATTTTCATATCCCTGAAGAAACCTGAGTCCCAATCGGCCCTGGTGCAGCTCGTTGAGCGAGAAGGTCACGAAGAGTTGATCTCCCAAATTCTGAGCGAGTCTTCCAATGAGGACGAGACCATCCTGGCAGCTACTGTCGGCTTCAAGGCCTTCATACGCATGATCCAGACGTACGAAATCACCATTGAGATCGTCATACGAAAGTTTGTTAGGGAGGACTTCATATCGCAGGACTGGAAGATTTGTGGAAAGGAGGTTTGAATTATGTTCAATGTGTTTCTGTTTTGTTCGTTTTAAACTTTTTCTGTGCAGACGGTTGAAATGCTTAAAAAGAATATTTCAAATTTCATTTTCGTTTCCTTGATTGGGGTTAATTTTTGCATTTCAACTTGAGTTAAATATATCTGAAATACATCTGAAAACAATGGGCAGATGGATATTTACATATTTCAAACATTTCTATCTAATTTGATTCACGGAAATCTAGAGAATAGTAGAGACATCGCAAATAATTGAAAGTCACGAGGCCATCACGCATGTGAAAATAGGTGAGTGTCAGTTCGAAAACAGGAGCTATCTTAGCTGAAAGCGTTTTATATATGAGGAGATGTTTGTTATTGCTTACTGAAAATTTTCTTTATCTCTTTTTTTTTAATATGTAACTCTGCTTTGTAAAACTTACCTACGCTTTTCGTGCCAATCCCAAAACACGGCCAATAAAATCCCAAACCATAATCGACAGAGGAAACATTTGTTGAGGAACGAACGATAATTGTCCAAGAAGGTTTGAACATAAACACAGATGTCCTGTAAAAAAACAAACCACCAGTTAAATAAATCCCACCAGTAACGATGTACCATCCCACGAACTACTCAACTACAGCCTAATTAATATTATTAAAAAAATACAAATACAAAAACAATAATAAATATTGTCTTTACGAATATAACAATTAAATCTTTGTTAAGCCAAACGAAAACAAATAATGTGTATATTCTAAAAAGACGACACTGAATAATAAATTTACCCATTAACCGCTAATCACTACCACTAAAAGTTATATCTACCTGATTTTAAGTTCAATATCTTGCTGCTACTTTGTACCATATAAGCTTAACTTTTATTGACTTTCGCACACTCTAATGCTTTAGCAATATGCATTCAATTTCAAGAGTAGAAGAGCTTTATCCTTTGCACGCCAGACTGGATGTTTACCGGATGTTAAATGAGGTAAGGTCTATCTACGATTTCTGTCTGTTTGCATTCCATCTGTAAATAGAATAAAGAATTCGTCCTATCATTTGATGTGCCCGTCATTTTGCTTTACCGCTCGCTTTATATTTCATCACAGATACTAAATGAATGATGCTTGCTCGGCCTTAAAGCTGTTAACATCATTGTTAGTAAATTGTTTTTAATGAAAAACACAACGAGAGGTCGACATTGTCATTGTTTAATTACATTACATTCGCAGAAACAGCAACCACAAAAGTGGAAAAACAATTCATACAGCAAGAACAAGATCATGTGCAAATACAAGAACAAGTGCAAGTACAGGCTCAGTCTGAACAAATTGTGCAGAAGAAAACTAAAACCAAAAAGCATAAAAAACACATACAACAGGAACAGGAATATTCCGAGTCCACAACCAAATACGAACAAAGAGAAACACTGGCTCACGAAAAAACCACAGGATCACCGCAGGCAGAAACTCTTGAGCAAATCGAAGAGCTTCTGCCCGCATACGAGACACTATCCACGCAAAATCTACCGATAGACACGCTCGAAACAGTCGCAGTTGCAGTCACCACTGAAATTTCTACACCGAAACCGATTCCAGCTCAGGTTCAAGACCAGATACTACCTCAGAAGGTATTGCCCATCAAAGAGGAATGCTTGACTCTCGATGATATTGAAGAGAGGAGGGATTCTCCCAAGCCGGAAGAGAGCAAGCTCACTGAAAATGTCGAAGTGAGGCAAAATTACGCAGTGAGTGTGGCCGAAACGAAGACGGATGACTCTCCAAGGGATTTGTTACCATCAAGAATACCAAAATCCGTAAAGGCACAGCGAAAGATTAAAGAGTCGCGCCCTTTGCTTGTTGAAGGTACAAGCATAGAAGAAGCTATCGAGGATCTCAAGCCGTTGAAGACCGTAGCTCAACAAGCACATGGAGACATATTGTTGTCACATGAGTTAACCGCAGAACAACAACCTATACTGGAAACTATTGAACAGCTAAAATCTTTAAAAACCACTGAAGAGATCGTTCAGCAGGAAATGCTGAATCAGGAGGAGTTAGTTATCACCGAAGTAATGAGTACTGAAACAGTTGGACCAGACGTCAGTCAAGCGAAACCAATTGGTGAAAATGTAGCTCCGCAAGTTACTCCTAACATCAGCCTTGGAATTAGCGAGTGCCAACCGGAAGACTCTTTGGGCGAGTTGCCACAGGACACCAAGGAGGCTCCAAAGTCATCTACGACGTCTGTTATTGAACACAAGGCAGTTAGTGGAAGCGTAACAGAAGTGCTAGAAAGCTTTGAGCAAATGCCTTCCAATATCCAACCGACGCAAGGCATAGCTGATTTTACAATTAAGGCAGAGGAGATCCCAGTTCAGGTGCAAGAGACCGAACCATTTGAAAGTTTGGAAGGAGGGGAAGTTACCCAGAAACGAACTGCCGAAACTAAAGTTTTGGAATTATTTGAGTTAGCTCAAAGTTTACAGAATATCACCGCAGATTCACAGAGTCCAATCGAGGAGGCTTTGCCTATTTTCAAGACAGATACAAAAGAGGCTTTTATGGATATGCATACGCAGGAACATGTCGTTACACTGGAAATAGTTTCAAATGAACAGATTTCAAGGGACTTGAAAGTGGAAGATATTCCAGAAACTGCCGAAGGAACGTTGGGGCAATCAAGTGCATTGATTATTGGCGAATCGCAGACAACAAACGTGGTTGAAACGGCAGTTGAGCTCACCGAACCTATTGTAGAACTAACCAAACCTGCAAAGAGCACTTTAACAAAGCCATACGGAACAGCAGAGAGTAAGGAAGAGGACCTCTTTGATTCAATCGGCTTGGTACCAGAAGATGACAGGAAGACAGCCCAAGGCAAAGTAATTATAGCCGAAGCAAGGGTCGTTGCAGAGGTTCAGGCCTCAACCGTGATTGAAACAGAAGAAGGACTTGTTTCAGCTCTTCCAGAGTTGGTGGATGCCAATTTAGATTTCGTCAAGCAGGCTGCCCTGGAGATTAAACAGGACACAACTGCGGAGAAGGAAGAGATCCTGCCCGGTGTTGTAGAGCCGATACCGCAATCAGCTACCGAAGGAATGATTCCTGCCGAGTTAAAGGTAACAAGCACACTTGAAATTCAACCAGGCGTAACATCTTCAGATATCATTGCGGAGAAGATAACTTCTGCATCCGCCAATCAAGTCTTTGAGACGATGTCAATTGGAGTTGCAAGTAAGCCCGATTTATTAGAGAGTACCAGTCTTATGGAACACCCACAACAGCCTGAACTCAAAACCGTTTCCATAGTTCTGGATGAGAACCAACAATCATTGGATGTGACTAATGTACAAATCACAGAGACCAGCACAGATCTTATTGATATTCAACCCAATCAGAAGCTTAGCAAAGCCCAAGCTGTCACCGACGTTTTTAAGCATGCCGAGGGCCTGGAAGTTATTCCTTTGGAGTCCGCAGTAGATAGCACTAAAGACAGCAAACCATTGGAAGTGTTAGCAGATATTAGCATGCCGCATCAATTTGGAACAGATGTTAGGGAGCAGGCAACCTTAGAAAGTATTCGGCCACGAGAGGAAGAAGTGCAGCCTCAGTTGCATACAACAGAAGGTCAGTTTGGATTGCTGCAGCCCCTTGAAACCAGTTCATGTTTAACCCTAGAGGGGGAAATCATTCTATCAGCTGATGAGCCTCACTCCACGCAGAGCGCTACTATTGGAACTTCAGCAGCTTTGCCTGTGGCGAACACCATTAGACCTCAACATATGGATTCATTGAACGAACTAGTGGAACAGGAACAGCCTAAACTGCAGGCGCATGTTAATATTGGGGAAATCATTCTACCAAACGTTGAGGAAATCATTCCCAGTGAAGCCTTAAGCGACTACGATACACCTGATTATAGCAAAGCATCTGTTGGTAGTATAAAATTAATTGAAAGTACAACAGCTTTGAAGACGTCTACTGCAATTGCAAGTGAAAGTACAATGGACTTGAAAGACCAAAATATTACACCCCAAATTCAAGTTAAGCCGAAACTAAATGAATCCACCCAGAAAATCCCTCTCTTAGAACAGATAGACGTCCTTGTTCATGTTTCCGAATTGAACGAAAGTTTACCCAGACAGGAATCGATTCAATCTTCAATAAAAAGTTTCCACGAGATAAATGTTAGAGAAACTGAAGTTTTTGAGAAAGAGGAGATCCTGAAGGATATTAGCCAGCCAAGTGAAAAACTTACAAAAATAACATTGGATTCCACGACGGGCATAGCACTAGTTCGGCAGGAAGGCACGTTCGAGCAGGAGGAGGATCTTAAATCTAATCCCATGCAACCGGAGAACGCACGACCAGTGGCTTTAGAGCTCCTTCAGTTGCCTTTAATTGAAGGCATCCAAGAAAACCAAAGCACCGGTGACTTGGAGGATTTCAATGTATCGAACAAATTTGCTTCTCCCAAAGTTGATATTTTAAATGAAACAGGGTTATCTGAAACGATTGTTTACGACTCAGTAACAAAGGCACCAGACTCGACTACCCCTGTTAGCCTAATTCCTCAGAAGTCTATAGTACCCTATGAGCATACAGTAGTCACTGGACACATTGCATATGATATAGCTGACAAACTTGATAGCTTATCCTCTGATCAGTTAGCCGCTACTAAGATTCTGGATAACCTAAATCAATCGATAATCGCAGAGGATCAAAGTGTATTGGAATCCGAAAAAACATTTGAGCCCAAAGCTACCCTAAGCCAGAAAGCCAAAATCATGGATGATATCATAAATCTACATGCTAAGCTCGTGGACGAGGCCACACTGTACGAAGGAATGGGACAACCCCAAGAGACACCTAAACATAGAGAATATCAAGCGGAAATCACACATGGGCTCGCTCAAGTTCATGCTACAGATCTGCAGCAAACTGTTGAAGCTGAGAAAGAACTAAAGACCCATGAACAGCCATCTGCCGTAGCAACGTCCGATAATGTAACATCGCTGCTTGGCGTGGCGGTGACTACGAAAACGCAACCTGTGGAAGAAACTAACTATATATTAACTTCGCCTCTAGATGCAATACTTGCTCAAACGAACTATGAGGGAAGACAACATGAAGTAAATGTTTCCGAAACCCATGCAATAGAGGAATCTGAAGAGCTGAATAAAACAGATTTATCATCTGTTTCCGGTGTCGAGTCCATCGATACAATGTATAAGGCCACAGCAGAATCGCATCAAACTCGAGTTTTCCAAAAGGAGTCAAATATACAGTCTGTTCCTACCCAAGACGCTAAAGCAAAACCATCTGTAGATCTTCTTCAGAGTACCACAGTATTGGATGTGCTCCCATTAGAATCTCCCGTACAATTTGACGATACTCAGGTTGCTGAGCAGAAGGCTCATGAAGAGCTAGTCACTGTAGTAGAGTCCAATAAAGTTCAGGTTCAAACTGATAACCTTATAATGCAAAAGGAAGATGTCTTAGATGAAATGCAAAAGGAGTACTTCGGTAAGCCTTTTATTGAAGGCTCGCAGCGGGAGACGCTTGTTACTGAGGTGGTACCAATTGAAAATGTGGGTTGTATTGAGTTACCCCAAGAGCCAACTCCATTCTTAGCTACTTTAACACCTAACGATAAAATAAATCAATCGCACATTGTAGAAACACAAGTACCTTTGGAACTGGAAAGTGAAGCTGATGTCGTTTACGATGAAAGAGTTCAAGCTAAAATCAAAACAGATCAAGTAAGTTTACATACAACCGTTTCGGAAGTAAATGCTTACGAAATAACAAAAGACATTCAAGACCAAAAAGAGCACGGCTTATATGTCAAGGCATCGAAAAATACAGATATCAACAAGGCACATTTGACAACCATACAGTCGACATTCTTAAAAGAAGACGCCCTACCCCAACTTAAAATACTAGACGGCACTGCTCAAGTGTCCAATGTTGAAAATGAATCTTTAGTTACTGAAGAAGTTGTGAGCATGACTTCCATTCAAGAAGTATTTGAACTTCAAATTCCGGCTGAAGAAAAAGCCCACGTATCTCAGCCAACTCCACGTGAGGCTACAAAGGTTTCTGAACAAATAACTTATGAGCAAACTCCCGATATTGTGAATCAGTTTGGTGAAAAATCTACTACAGCGATCAGCTCTGTAAAACCAATTCTTAATCCAGCGGAGAGTTCAATTGTAAACGTTTACGAAAACATTGAAGGTCATGGTGATTTTAGGCCAGGTACTGCCAACCTCACGACAGTTACAAATGTAGTTTCGGAGCTGAAGGTCTCGGAAGTAGAAGAGGTGACTACGACACCAGCCTTGGGCAACCTTGCAATAGATGCACCGAATGAGTTTCGAGCAATTCCAGAAACAGTCTTACACAAAAACGTTGTTTACAGCGAGGATCTTCCTTGTGAAGGTGTAAGCCCACTTTTGGAAAACAAAACCCAAAGTTTCGAGCACGCAAAAACGCAGCCATCTAATATGAGAGTTGCACCTTTAACAAACGAGCTACATGAGAAAGGAACTGTTCAGGAAATTATTGACTTTCAAGCTGACAAAAAACCCTTGACACCATCAATCACATCGCAGAGTACGTATCTCTACCAACAAACAGAATCACATAAGCAGGTTAATACACTAGAGGAAAAGCCACACAAACATCAGGATATTGCAGAAACAATCTTCGATACAAATAATTCAGTAACAACAGAACAAATAAACATTACCACAGCATCGAGACTGGTTTGCGAACCAACCCTAATAGAAGGGAACCTTAAAAATGCCTTACAAACTACACAATTTGTGTCAGAGTCCACGCTTAAAACACCACAGCTGATGCCTAAGACTGCACACTTTGAAACAACAACACATGAAGAAGCACAGCCTTCGACGACTGAGTCACAAGCACCATTACACATTTTAAAAGATGACACTGATAGCGTTCGGAAGAAAAACACACAGGATGATATTAAGTTAGAGAGTTTAACGAAGAGTTTAGATAAAATGGTAAAATTAGATTCGGGTAAGTATATCTATAGGTGTATTTTAAGAAGTTCAACAAAAAAGGCGTATTACTTTCACTACCAATTGACCCTCCAAACCCAAAGCACATATTACACAAAACAAAGCAATGCCACAAAACCCAAACAGTACCATAAACTAAATGCACACTTTTTTACACAGATACAGAACAAAGCACAGACACAACACACACAGAACAAAAGACACCAACACAAAAAACTGATTTCTGTGAAACTGAAATAGCAGAAATGCCAGAAACCGTAAAAGTTATTGAAACAATCTCTGAAAGCGGAAAGCCAACGAAGAAGAAGATCCGCACTCGCGTAATCAAGAAGGTCAAGGGTGACAAACAAGAAGTCACCAAGATTGAAACCGTTGAGGAGGACGACAAGCAACCTGAAACTACTGTGACTGTCGAAGAACTTCCATACGAAGAGGAGCAACCTGAAGAGATTCAAGAGCTTCCGGAAGAGGTTCGCGTTGTTGAAACCGTCACCGAAGAGGGCAAGCCAAAGAAGAAGAAGATCCGCACTCGCGTAATCAAGAAGGTCAAGGGTGACAAACAAGAAGTCACCAAGATTGAAACCGTTGAGGAGGACGACAAGCAACCTGAAACCACTGTGACTGTCGAAGAACTTCCATACGAAGAAGAAAGGCCGGAAGAGATTCAAGAGCTTCCCGAAGAGGTTCGCGTTGTTGAAACTATCACCGAAGAGGGCAAGCCAAAGAAGAAGAAAATCCGCACTCGCGTAATCAAGAAGGTCAAGGGTGACAAACAAGAAGTCACCAAGATTGAAACCGTTGAAGAGGACGACAAGCAACCTGAAACCACTGTGACTGTCGAAGAACTTCCATACGAAGAAGAAAAGCCTGAAGAGATACAAGAGCTTCCCGAGGAGGTTCGCGTTGTTGAAACCATCACCGAAGAGGGCAAGCCAAAGAAGAAGAAGATCCGCACTCGCGTAATCAAGAAGGTCAAGGGTGACAAACAAGAAGTCACCAAGATTGAAACCGTGGAGGAGGACGACAAGCAACCTGAAACCACTGTGACTGTCGAAGAACTTCCATACGAAGAAGAAAAGCCGGACGAGATTCAAGAGCTTCCCGAGGAGGTTCGCGTTGTTGAAACCATCACCGAAGAGGGTAAGCCAAAGAAGAGGAAGATCCGCACTCGGGTAATCAAGAAGGTCAAGGGTGACAAACAAGAAGTCACCAAGATTGAAACCGTTGAGGAGGACGACAAGCAACCTGAAACCACTGTGATTGTCAAGGAACTTCCATACGAAGAAGAAAAGCCTGAAGAGATTCAAGAGCTTCCCGAGGAGGTTCGCGTTGTTGAAACCGTCACCGAAGAGGGCAAGCCAAAGAAGAAGAAGATCCGCACTCGCGTAATCAAGAAGGTCAAGGGTGACAAACAAGAAGTCACCAAGATTGAAACCGTTGAGGAGGACGACAAGCAACCTGAAACCACTGTGACTGTCGAAGAACTTCCATACGAAGAAGAAAAGCAGGAAGAGATTCAAGAGCTTCCCGAAGAGGTTTGCGTTGTTGAAACCGTCACCGAAGAGGGCAAGCCAAAGAAGAAGAAGATCCGCACTCGGGTAATCAAGAAGGTCAAGGGTGACAAACAAGAAGTCACCAAGATTGAAACCGTTGAGGAGGACGACAAGCAACCTGAAACCACTGTGACTGTCGAAGAACTTCCATACGAAGAAGAAAAGCCTGAAGAGATTCAAGAGCTTCCCGAGGAGGTTCGCGTTGTTGAAACCATCACCGAAGAGGGCAAGCCAAAGAAGAAGAAGATCCGCACTCGCGTAATCAAGAAGGTCAAGGGTGACAAACAAGAAGTCACCAAGATTGAAACCGTTGAGGAGGACGACAAGCAACCTGAAACCACTGTGACTGTCGAAGAACTTCCATACGAAGAAGAAAAGCCGGACGAGATTCAAGAGCTTCCCGAGGAGGTTCGCGTTGTTGAAACCATCACCGAAGAGGGCAAGCCAAAGAAGAAGAAGATCCGCACTCGCGTAATCAAGAAGGTCAAGGGTGACAAACAAGAAGTCACCAAGATTGAAACCGTGGAGGAGGACGACAAGCAACCTGAAACCACTGTGACTGTCGAAGAACTTCCATACGAAGAGGAGCAACCTGAAGAGATTCAAGAGCTTCCCGAGGAGGTTCGCGTTGTTGAAACCGTCACCGAAGAGGGCAAGCCAAAGAAGAAGAAGATCCGCACTCGCGTAATCAAGAAGGTCAAGGGTGACAAACAAGAAGTCACCAAGATTGAAACCGTTGAGGAGGACGACAAGCAACCTGAAACCACTGTGACTGTCGAAGAACTTCCATACGAAGAAGAAAAGCCTGAAGAGATTCAAGAGCTTCCCGAGGAGGTTCGCGTTGTTGAAACCGTCACCGAAGAGGGCAAGCCAAAGAAGAAGAAGATCCGCACTCGCGTAATCAAGAAGGTCAAGGGTGACAAACAAGAAGTCACCAAGATTGAAACCGTTGAGGAGGACGACAAGCAACCTGAAACCACTGTGACTGTCGAAGAACTTCCATACGAAGAAGAAAAGCCGGAAGAGATTCAAGAGCTTCCCGAAGAGGTTCGCGTTGTTGAAACCGTCACCGAAGAGGGCAAGCCAAAGAAGAAGAAGATCCGCACTCGGGTAATCAAGAAGGTCAAGGGTGACAAACAAGAAGTCACCAAGATTGAAACCGTTGAGGAGGACGACAAGCAACCTGAAACCACTGTGACTGTCGAAGAACTTCCATACAAAGAAGAAAAGCCGGAAGAGATTCAAGAGCTTCCCGAAGAGGTTCGCGTTGTTGAAACCGTCACCGAAGAGGGCAAGCCAAAGAAGAAGAAGATCCGCACTCGGGTAATCAAGAAGGTCAAGGGTGACAAACAAGAAGTCACCAAGATTGAAACCGTTGAGGAGGACGACAAGCAACCTGAAACCACTGTGACTGTCGAAGAACTGCCATACGAAGAAGAAAAGCCTGAAGAGATTCAAGAGCTCCCTGAGGAGGTTCGCGTTGTTGAAACTGTCACTGAAGAGGGCAAGCCAAAGAAGAAGAAGATCCGCACTCGCGTAATCAAGAAGGTCAAGGGTGACAAACAAGAAGTCACCAAGATTGAAACCGTTGAGGAGGACGACAAGCAACCTGAAACCACTGTGACTGTCGAAGAACTTCCATACGAAGAAGAAAAGCCTGAAGAGATTCAAGAGCTCCCCGAGGAGGTTCGCGTTGTTGAAACTGTCACTGAAGAGGGCAAGCCAAAGAAGAAGAAGATCCGCACTCGCGTAATCAAGAAGGTCAAGGGTGACAAACAAGAAGTCACCAAGATTGAAACCGTTGAGGAGGACGACAAGCAACCTGAAACCACTGTGACTGTTGAAGAACTTCCATACGAAGAAGAAAAGCCGGAAGAGATTCAAGAACTTCCCGAAGAGGTTCGCGTTGTTGAAACCGTCACCGAAGAGGGCAAGCCAAAGAAGAAAAAGATCCGCACTCGCGTAATTAAGAAGGTCAAGGGTGACAAACAAGAAGTCACCAAGATTGAAACCGTTGAGGAGGACGACAAGCAACCTGAAACCACTGTGACTGTCGAAGAACTTCCATATGAAGAGGAGCAACCTGACGAGATTCAAGAGCTTCCCGAGGAGGTTCGCGTTGTTGAAACCGTCACCGAAGAGGGCAAGCCAAAGAAGAAGAAAATCCGCACTCGCGTAATCAAGAAGGTTAAGGGTGACAAACAAGAAGTCACCAAGATTGAAACCGTTGAGGAGGACGACAAGCAACCTGAAACCACTGTGACTGTCGAAGAACTTCCATACGAAGAGGAGCAACCTGAAGAGATTCAAGAGCTTCCCGAGGAGGTTCGGGTTGTTGAAACCGTCACCGAAGAGGGCAAGCCAAAGAAGAAGAAGATCCGCACTCGCGTAATCAAGAAGGTCAAGGGTGACAAACAAGAAGTCACCAAGATTGATACCGTTGAGGAGGACGACAAGCAACCTGAAACCACTGTGACTGTCGAAGAACTTCCATACGAAGAAGAAAAGCCTGAAGAGATTCAAGAGCTCCCCGAGGAGGTTCGCGTTCTTGAAACCGTCACCGAAGAGGGCAAGCCAAAGAAGAAGAAGATCCGCACTCGCGTAATCAAGAAGGTCAAGGGTGACAAACAAGAAGTCACCAAGATTGAAACCGTTGAGGAGGACGACAAGCAACCTGAAACCACTGTGACTGTCGAAGAACTTCCATACGAAGAAGAAAAGCCTGAAGAGATTCAAGAGCTTCCTGAGGAGGTTCGCGTTGTTGAAACCGTCACCGAAGAGGGCAAGCCAAAGAAGAAGAAGATCCGCACTCGCGTAATCAAGAAGGTCAAGGGTGACAAACAAGAAGTCACCAAGATTGAAACCGTTGAGGAAGACGACAAGCAACCTGAAACCACTGTGACTGTCGAAGAACTTCCATACGAAGAAGAAAAGCCTGAAGAGATTCAAGAGCTTCCCGAGGAGGTTCGCGTTGTTGAAACCATCACCGAAGAGGGCAAGCCAAAGAAGAAGAAGATCCGAACTCGCGTAATCAAGAAGGTCAAGGGTGACAAACAAGAAGTCACCAAGATTGAAACCGTTGAGGAAGACGACAAGCAACCTGAAACCACTGTGACTGTCGAAGAACTTCCATACGAAGAAGAAAAGCCTGAAGAGATTCAAGAGCTTCCCGAGGAGGTTCGCGTTGTTGAAACCGTCACCGAAGAGGGCAAGCCAAAGAAGAAGAAGATCCGCACTCGCGTAATCAAGAAGGTCAAGGGTGACAAACAAGAAGTCACCAAGATTGAAACCGTTGAGGAAGACGACAAGCAACCTGAAACCACTGTGACTGTCGAAGAACTTCCATACGAAGAAGAAAAGCCTGAAGAGATTCAAGAGCTTCCCGAGGAGGTTCGCGTTGTTGAAACTGTCACTGAAGAGGGCAAGCCAAAGAAGAAGAAGATCCGCACTCGCGTAATCAAGAAGGTCAAGGGTGACAAACAAGAAGTCACCAAGATTGAAACCGTTGAGGAGGACGACAAGCAACCTGAAACCACTGTGACTGTCGAAGAACTTCCATACGAAGAAGAAAAGCCTGAAGAGATTCAAGAGCTTCCCGAGGAGGTTCGCGTTGTTGAAACCGTCACCGAAGAGGGCAAGCCAAAGAAGAAGAAGATCCGCACTCGCGTAATCAAGAAGGTCAAGGGTGACAAACAAGAAGTAACCAAGATTGAAACCGTTGAGGAGGACGACAAGCAACCTGAAACCACTGTGACTGTCGAAGAACTTCCATACGAAGAAGAAAAGCCTGAAGAGATTCAAGAGCTTCCCGAGGAGGTTCGCGTTGTTGAAACCGTCACCGAAGAGGGCAAGCCAAAGAAGAAGAAGATCCGCACTCGCGTAATCAAGAAGGTCAAGGGTGACAAACAAGAAGTCACCAAGATTGAAACCGTTGAGGAAGACGACAAGCAACCTGAAACCACTGTGACTGTCGAAGAACTTCCATACGAAGAAGAAAAGCCTGAAAAGATTCAAGAGCTTCCCGAGGAGGTTCGCGTTGTTGAAACTGTCACTGAAGAGGGCAAGCCAAAGAAGAAGAAGATCCGCACTCGCGTAATCAAGAAGGTCAAGGGTGACAAACAAGAAGTCACCAAGATTGAAACCGTTGAGGAGGACGACAAGCAACCTGAAACCACTGTGACTGTCGAAGAACTTCCATACGAAGAAGAAAAGCCTGAAGAGATTCAAGAGCTTCCCGAGGAGGTTCGCGTTGTTGAAACCGTCACCGAAGAGGGCAAGCCAAAGAAGAAGAAGATCCGCACTCGCGTAATCAAGAAGGTCAAGGGTGACAAACAAGAAGTAACCAAGATTGAAACCGTTGAGGAGGACGACAAGCAACCTGAAACCACTGTGACTGTCGAAGAACTTCCATACGAAGAAGAAAAGCCTGAAGAGATTCAAGAGCTTCCTGAGGAGGTTCGCGTTGTTGAAACCGCCACCGAAGAGGGCAAGCCAAAGAAGAAGAAGATCCGCACTCGCGTAATCAAGAAGGTCAAGGGTGACAAACAAGAAGTCACCAAGATTGAAACCGTTGAAGAGGACGACAAGCAACCTGAAACCACTGTGACTGTCGAAGAACTTCCATACGAAGAAGAAAAGCCTGAAGAGATTCAAGAGCTTCCCGAGGAGGTTCGCGTTGTTGAAACCGTCACCGAAGAGGGCAAGCCAAAGAAGAAGAAGATCCGCACTCGCGTAATCAAGAAGGTCAAGGGTGACAAACAAGAAGTCACCAAGATTGAAACCGTGGAGGAGGACGACAAGCAACCTGAAACCACTGTGACTGTCGAAGAACTTCCATACGAAGAGGAGCAACCTGAAGAGATTCAAGAGCTTCCCGAAGAGGTTCGCGTTGTTGAAACCATCACCGAAGAGGGCAAGCCAAAGAAGAAGAAGATCCGCACTCGCGTAATCAAGAAGGTCAAGGGTGACAAACAAGAAGTCACCAAGATTGAAACCGTTGAGGAGGACGACAAGCAACCTGAAACCACTGTGACTGTCGAAGAACTTCCATACGAAGAGGAGCAACCTGAAGAGATTCAAGAGCTTCCAGAGGAGGTTCGCGTTGTTGAAACCATCACCGAAGAAGGCAAGCCAAAGAAGAAGAAGATCCGCACTCGCGTAATCAAGAAGGTCAAGGGTGACAAACAAAAAGTAACCAAAATTGAAACCGTTGAGGAGGACGACAAGCAACCGGAAACCACTGTGACTGTCGAAGAACTTCCATACGAAGAAGAAAAGCCTGAAGAGATTCAAGAGCTCCCCGAGGAGGTTCGCGTTGTTGAAACCGTCACCGAAGAGGGCAAGCCAAAGAAGAAGAAGATCCGCACTCGGGTAATCAAGAAGGTCAAGGGTGACAAACAAGAAGTCACCAAGATTGAAACCGTTGAGGAGGACGACAAGCAACCTGAAACCACTGTGACTGTCGAAGAACTTCCATACGAAGAAGAAAAGCCTGAAGAGATTCAAGAGCTCCCCGAGGAGGTTCGCGTTGTTGAAACCGTCACCGAAGAGGGCAAGCCAAAGAAGAAGAAGATCCGCACTCGGGTAATCAAGAAGGTCAAGGGTGACAAACAAGAAGTCACCAAGATTGAAACCGTTGAGGAGGACGACAAGCAACCTGAAACCACTGTGACTGTCGAAGAACTTCCATACGAAGAAGAAAAGCCTGAAGAGATTCAAGAGCTTCCCGAGGAGGTTCGCGTTGTTGAAACCGTCACCGAAGAGGGCAAGCCAAAGAAGAAGAAGATCCGCACTCGCGTAATCAAGAAGGTTAAGGGTGACAAAGAAGAAGTCACCAAGATTGAAACCGTTGAGGAGGACGACAAGCAACCTGAAACCACTGTGACTGTCGAAGAACTTCCATACGAAGAAGAAAAGCCTGAAGAGATTCAAGAGCTTCCAGAGGAAGTTCGCGTTGTTGAAACCATCACCGAAGAGGGCAAGCCAAAGAAGAAGAAGATCCGCACTCGCGTAATCAAGAAGGTCAAGGGTGACAAACAAGAAGTCACCAAGATTGAAACCGTTGAGGAGGACGACAAGCAACCTGAAACCACTGTGACTGTCGAAGAACTTCCATACGAAGAAGAAAAGCCTGAAGAGATTCAAGAGCTTCCCGAGGAGGTTCGCGTTGTTGAAACCGTCACCGAAGAGGGCAAGCCAAAGAAGAAGATGATCCGCACTCGCGTTATCAAGAAGGTCAAAGGTGACAAACAAGAAGTCACCAAGATTGAAACCGTTGAGGAGGACGACAAGCAACCTGAAACCACTGTGACTGTCGAAGAACTTCCATACGAAGAAGAAAAGCCTGAAGAGATTCAAGAGCTTCCCGAGGAGGTTCGCGTTGTTGAAACCGTCAGCGAAGAGGGCAAGCCAAAGAAGAAGAAGATCCGCACTCGCGTAATCAAGAAGGTCAAGGGTGACAAACAAGAAGTCACCAAGATTGAAACCGTTGAGGAGGACGACAAGCAACCTGAAACCACTGTGACTGTCGAAGAACTTCCATACGAAGAAGAAAAGCCTGAAGAGATTCAAGAGCTTCCCGAGGAGGTTCGCGTTGTTGAAACCGTCAGCGAAGAGGGCAAGCCAAAGAAGAAGAAGATCCGCACTCGCGTAATCAAGAAGGTCAAGGGTGACAAACAAGAAGTCACCAAGATTGAAACCGTTGAGGAGGACGACAAGCAACCTGAAACCACTGTGACTGTCGACGAACTTCCATACGAAGAAGAAAAGCCTGAAGAGATTCAAGAGCTTCCAGAGGAGGTTCGCGTTGTTGAAACCATCACCGAAGAGGGCAAGCCAAAGAAGAAGAAGATCCGCACTCGCGTAATCAAGAAGGTCAAGGGTGACAAACAAGAAGTCACCAAGATTGAAACCGTTGAGGAGGACGACAAGCAACCTGAAACCACTGTGACTGTCGAAGAACTTCCATACGAAGAAGAAAAGCCTGAAGAGATTCAAGAGCTCCCCGAGGAGGTTCGCGTTGTTGAAACCGTCACCGAAGAGGGCAAGCCAAAGAAGAAGAAGATCCGCACTCGGGTAATCAAGAAGGTCAAGGGTGACAAACAAGAAGTCACCAAGATTGAAACCGTTGAGGAGGACGACAAGCAACCTGAAACCACTGTGACTGTCGAAGAACTTCCATACGAAGAAGAAAAGCCTGAAGAGATTCAAGAGCTTCCCGAGGAGGTTCGCGTTGTTGAAACCGTCACCGAAGAGGGCAAGCCAAAGAAGAAGAAGATCCGCACTCGCGTAATCAAGAAGGTCAAGGGTGACAAACAAGAAGTCACCAAGATTGAAACCGTTGAGGAGGACGACAAGCAACCTGAAACCACTGTGACTGTCGAAGAACTTCCATACGAAGAAGAAAAGCCTGAAGAGATTCAAGAGCTTCCCGAGGAGGTTCGCGTTGTTGAAACCGTCACCGAAGAGGGCAAGCCAAAGAAGAAGAAGATCCGCACTCGCGTTATCAAGAAGGTCAAGGGTGACAAACAAGAAGTCACCAAGATTGAAACCGTTGAGGAGGACGACAAGCAACCTGAAACCACTGTGACTGTCGAAGAACTTCCATACGAAGAAGAAAAGCCTGAAGGGATTCAAGAGCTTCCCGAGGAGGTTCGCGTTGTTGAAACTGTCACTGAAGAGGGCAAGCCAAAGAAGAAGAAGATCCGCACTCGCGTAATCAAGAAGGTCAAGGGTGGCAAACAAGAAGTAACCAAAATTGAAACCGTTGAGGAGGACGACAAGCAACCTGAAACCACTGTGACTGTCGAAGAACTTCCATACGAAGAAGAAAAGCCTGAAGAGATTCAAGAGCTTCCCGAGGAGGTTCGCGTTGTTGAAACCATCACCGAAGAGGGCAAGCCAAAGAAGAAGAAGATCCGCACTCGCGTAATCAAGAAGGTCAAGGGTGACAAACAAGAAGTCACCAAGATTGAAACCGTTGAAGAGGACGACAAGCAACCTGAAACCACTGTGACTGTCGAAGAACTTCCATACGAAGAAGAAAAGCCTGAAGAGATTCAAGAGCTTCCCGAGGAGGTTCGCGTTGTTGAAACCGTCACCGAAGAGGGCAAGCCAAAGAAGAAGAAGATCCGCACTCGCGTAATCAAGAAGGTTAAGGGTGACAAAGAAGAAGTCACCAAGATTGAAACCGTTGAGGAGGACGACAAGCAACCTGAAACCACTGTGACTGTCGAAGAACTTCCATACGAAGAAGAAAAGCCTGAAGAGATTCAAGAGCTTCCCGAGGAGGTTCGCGTTGTTGAAACCGTCACCGAAGAGGGCAAGCCAAAGAAGAAGAAGATCCGCACTCGCGTTATCAAGAAGGTCAAGGGTGACAAACAAGAAGTCACCAAGATTGAAACCGTTGAGGAGGACGACAAGCAACCTGAAACCACTGTGACTGTCGAAGAACTTCCATACGAAGAAGAAAAGCCTGAAGAGATTCAAGAGCTTCCCGAGGAGGTTCGCGTTGTTGAAACCGTCACCGAAGAGGGCAAGCCAAAGAAGAAGAAGATCCGCACTCGCGTTATCAAGAAGGTCAAAGGTGACAAACAAGAAGTGACCAAGATTGAAACCGTTGAGGAGGACGACAAGCAACCTGAAACCACTGTGACTGTCGAAGAACTTCCATACGAAGAAGAAAAGCCTGAAGAGATTCAAGAGCTTCCCGAGGAGGTTCGCGTTGTTGAAACCGTCACCGAAGTGGGCAAGCCAAAGAAGAAGAAGATCCGCACTCGTGTTATCAAGAAGGTCAAGGGTGACAAACAAGAAGTCACCAAGATTGAAACCGTTGAGGAGGACGACAAGCAACCTGAAACAATAGTCACTGTCGAAGAACTTCCATACGAAGAGGAGCAACCCGAAGAAATTCAAGAGCTTCCCGAGGAGGTTCGCGTTGTTGAAACCATCACCGAAGAAGGCAAGCCAAAGAAGAAGAAGATCCGCACTCGCGTAATCAAGAAGGTCAAGGGTGACAAACAAGAAGTAACCAAAATTGAAATCGTTGAGGAGGACGACAAGCAACCGGAAACCACTGTGACTGTCGAAGAACTTCCATACGAAGAGGAGCAACCCGAAGAAATTCAAGAGCTTCCCGAGGAGGTTCGCGTTGTTGAAACCATCACCGAAGAAGGCAAGCCAAAGAAGAAGAAGATCCGCACTCGCGTAATCAAGAAGGTCAAGGGTGACAAACAAGAAGTAACCAAAATTGAAACCGTTGAGGAGGACGACAAGCAACCGGAAACCACTGTGACTGTCGAAGAACTTCCATACGAAGAAGAAAAGCCTGAAGAGATTCAAGAGCTCCCCGAGGAGGTTCGCGTTGTTGAAACCGTCACCGAAGAGGGCAAGCCAAAGAAGAAGAAGATCCGCACTCGCGTAATCAAGAAGGTCAAGGGTGACAAACAAGAAGTCACCAAGATTGAAACCGTTGAGGAGGACGACAAGCAACCTGAAACCACTGTGACTGTCGAAGAACTTCCATACGAAGAAGAAAAGCCTGAAGAGATTCAAGAGCTTCCCGAGGAGGTTCGCGAGGTTGACACCATCACCGAAGAGGGCAAGCCAAAGAAGAAGAAGATCCGCACTCGCGTAATCAAGAAGGTCAAGGGTGACAAACAAGAAGTCACCAAGATTGAAACCGTTGAGGAGGACGACAAGCAACCTGAAACCACTGTGACTGTTGAAGAACTTCCATACGTAGAAGAAAAGCCTGAAGAGATTCAAGAGCTTCCCGAGGAGGTTCGCATTGTTGAAACCGTCACTGAAGAGGGCAAGCCAAAGAAGAAGAAGATCCGCACTCGCTTAATCAAGAAGGTCAAGGGTGACAAACAAGAAGTCACCAAGATTGAAACGGTTGAGGAGGACGACAAGCAACCTGAAACAACTGTGACTGTCGAAGAACTTCCATACGAAGAGGAGCAACCTGAAGAAATTCAAGAGCTTCCCGAAGAGGTTCGCGTTGTTGAAACTATCACCGAAGAGGGCAAGCCAAAGAAGAAGAAAATCCGCACTCGCGTAATCAAGAAGGTCAAGGGTGACAAACAAGAAGTCACCAAGATTGAAACCGTTGAGGAGGACGACAAGCAACCTGAAACCACTGTGACTGTCGAAGAACTTCCATGCGAAGAAGAAAAGCCTGAAGAGATTCAAGAGCTTCCCGAGGAGGTTCGCGTTGTTGAAACCATCACCGAAGAGGGCAAACCAAAGAAGAAGAAGATCCGCACTCGCATAATCAAGAAGCTCAAGGGTGACAAACAAGAAGTCACTAAGATTGAAACCGTTGAGGAGGACGACAAGCAACCTGAAACAACAGTCACTGTCGAGGAACTTCCATTCAAAGAAGAAAAGCCTGAAGAGATTCAGGAGCTTCCCGAGGAGGTTCGCGTGGTTGAAACCATCACCGAAGAAGGCAAGCCAAAGAAGAAGAAGATCCGCACTCGCGTAATAAAGAAGGTCAAGGGTGACAAACAAGAAGTCACCAAGATTGAAACCGTTGAGGAGGACGACAAGCAACCTGTAACCACTGTGACTGTCGAAGAACTTCCATACGAAGAAGAAAAGCCTGAAGAGATTCAAGAGCTTCCCGAGGAGGTTCGCGTTGTTGAAACCATCACCGAAGAGGGCAAGCCAAAGAAGAAGAAGATCCGCACTCGCGTAATCAAGAAGGTCAAGGGTGACAAACAAGAAGTCACAAAGATTGAAACCGTTGAGGAGGACGACAAGCAACCTGAAACCACTGTGACTGTCGAAGAACTTCCATACGAAGAAGAAAAGCCTGAAGAGATTCAAGAGCTTCCCGAGGAGGTGCGAGTTGTGGAAACTATCACTGAAGATGGCCAGCCAAAGAAGAAGAAGATCCGCACTCGCGTAATTAAGAAGGTCAGGGGTGACAAACAAGAAGTCACCAAGATTGAAACCGTTGAGGAGGACGACAAGCAACCTGAAACCACTGTGACTGTCGAAGAACTTCCATACGAAGAAGAAAAGCATGAAGAGATTCAAGAGCTTCCCGAGGAGGTTCGCGTTGTTGAAACCATCACTGAAGAGGGCAAGCCAAAGAAGAAGAAGATCCGCACTCGCGTAATCAAGAAGGTCAAGGGTGACAAACAAGAAGTCACCAAGATTGAAACCGTTGAGGAGGCCGACAAGCAACCTGAAACAACAGTCACTGTTGAAGAAGTTCCATACGAAGAGGAGCAACCCGAAGAAATTCAAGAGCTACCCGAGGAGGTTCGCGTGGTTGAAACCATCACCGAAGAGGGCAAACCAAAGAAGAAGAAGATTCGCACTCGCGTAATCAAGAAGGTCAAGGGTGACAAACAAGAAGTCACCAAGATTGAAACCGTTGAGGAGGACGACAAGCAACCTGAAACAACAGTCACTGTCGAAGAACTTCCATACGAAGAGGAGCAACCCGGAGAAATTCAAGAGCTTCCCGAAGAGGTTCGCGTTGTTGAAACCGTCACCGAAGAGGGCAAGCCAAAGAAGAAGACGATCCGCACTCGCGTAATCAAGAAGGTCAAGGGTGACAAACAAGAAGTCACCAAGATTGAAACCGTTGAGGAGGACGACAAGCAACCTGAAACCACTGTGACTGTCGAAGAACTTCCATACGAAGAAGAAAAAGCCTGAAGAGATTCAAGAGCTTCCCGAGGAGGTTCGCGTTGTTGAAACCGTCACCGAAGAGGGCAAGCCAAAGAAGAAGAAGATCCGCACTCGCGTAATCAAGAAGGTCAAGGGTGACAAACAAGAAGTCACCAAGATTGAAACCGTTGAGGAGGACGACAAGCAACCTGAAACCACTGTGACTGTCGAAGAACTTCCATACGAAGAAGAAAAGCCTGAAGAGATTCAAGAGCTTCCCGAGGAGGTTCGCGTTGTTGAAACCGTCACCGAAGAGGGCAAGCCAAAGAAGAAGAAGATCCGCACTCGCGTAATCAAGAAGGTCAAGGGTGACAAACAAGAAGTTACCAAGATTGAAACCGTTGAGGAGGATGACAAGCAACCTGAAACAACGGTCACTGTCGAAGAACTTCCATACGAAGAGGAGCAACCCGAAGAAATTCAAGAGCTTCCCGAGGAAGTTCGAGTCGTGGAAACAATCACTGAAGATGGTCAGCCAAAGAAGAAGAATATCCGCACTCGCGTAATCAAGAAGGTCAAGGGTGACAAACAAGAAGTCACCAAGATTGAAACCGTTGAGGAGGACGACAAGCAACCTGAAACCACTGTGACTGTCGAAGAACTTCCATACGAAGAAGAAAAGCCTGAAGAGATTCAAGAGCTTCCCGAGGAGGTGCGAGTTGTGGAAACTATCACTGAAGATGGCCAGCCAAAGAAGAAGAAGATCCGCACTCGCGTAATAAAGAAGGTCAAGGGTGACAAACAAGAAGTCACCAAGATTGAAACCGTTGAGGAGGACGACAAGCAACCTGAAACCACTGTGACTGTCGAAGAACTTCCATACGAAGAAGAAAAGCCTGAAGAGATTCAAGAGCTTCCCGAGGAGGTGCGAGTTGTGGAAACTATCACTGAAGATGGCAAGCCAAAGAAGAAGAAGATCCGCACTCGCGTAATAAAGAAGGTCAAGGGTGACAAACAAGAAGTCACCAAGATTGAAACCGTTGAGGAGGACGACAAGCAACCTGAAACCACTGTGACTGTCGAAGAACTTCCATACGAAGAAGAAAAGCCTGAAGAGATTCAAGAGCTTCCCGAGGAGGTGCGAGTTGTGGAAACTATCACTGAAGATGGCAAGCCAAAGAAGAAGAAGATCCGCACTCGCATAATAAAGAAGGTCAAGGGTGACAAACAAGAAGTCACCATGATTGAAACCGTTGAGGAGGACGACAAGCAACCTGAAACCACTGTGACTGTCGAAGAACTTCCATACGAAGAAGAAAAGCCTGAAAAGATTCAAGAGCTTCCCGAGGAGGTGCGAGTTGTGGAAACTATCACTGAAGATGGCCAGCAAAAGAAGAAGAAGATCCGCACTCGCGTAATTAAGAAGGTCAGGGGTGACAAACAAGAAGTCACCAAGATTGAAACCGTTGAGGAGGACGACAAGCAACCTGAAACCACTGTGACTGTCGAAGAACTTCCATACGAAGAAGAAAAGCCTGAAGAGATTCAAGAGCTTCCCGAAGAGGTGCGAGTTGTGGAAACTATTACTGAAGATGGCAAGCCAAAGAAGAAGAAGATCCGCACTCGCGTAATAAAGAAGGTCAAGGGTGACAAACAAGAAGTTACCAAGATTGAAACCGTTGAGGAGGACGACAAGCAACCTGAAACAACGGTCACTGTCGAAGAACTTCCATACGAGGAAGAAAAGCCTGAAGAGATTGAAGAAATACCGGAAGATGTGCGTGAGGTAGAATTCATTGCCGAAGACGGAAAGCCGAAGACGAAGAAGATTCGCACTCGCTTAATTAAGAAGGTAAAGGGAGACAAGCAAGAAGTTACAAAGATCGAAACGGTTGAGGAGGTTGATAAGAAACCGGAAACCATTATAACTGTTGAAGAAACTGATTTAAGTACTCCTAGTGTAGGCAAAGTGAAGCTTAAAAAGAGAGTTATCGTTCAAAAACCAGAAGATGAGGTTACGGTATTTGAATTACCTGAACGAAAATCAGTTATACTTTCAGAAAAAGAGGATGGAACACCAACAAAAACGGTTATTAAAACAAGAATCATCAAAAAAGTTCAAGGACCGAACATGGAAGTGACAAAAATCGAAACAGTCGAGGAATATGAAAAAGCTCCAAAAACTAAAATATCTGTAGAAAAGTTTGAGCTACCATTCCCCGAGCTCCCAGAAGAAAAGATTTCCGAAGTGGTCGTTCTGCCTGATGAGGTTTTCGAGTCCGAAGCTATTGATGAGGAAGGTCTCCCAAAGAAAATTAGAACTAAGAAGCGGGTTATTAAAAAGCCAGCACTTGGTAACACTGAAGAAGTGACTGAAATAGGAATTATTGAACAGGAAAATACTGAGCCCATATATTCGGTAACAATAAAAGAACAGCCATTAACCGAATCTAAGCCGGATGATAGTAAAATAGTTGAATTACCTGAACTTGTGACAGAGTTTGAAGTTGTTTCACCTGATGGAACAAGGAAGAAAAAGACGGTTAAATCTAGAGCTTTCAAAAAGAACATTGACGAGGATAAGGATGAAGTTACAACAGTTCAAATAATAGAAGAGGAAGATAAGGAACCACTAACTACAGTGGAAATAGAGGTTATGCCTGCTGACGAGATCTCCATTACGCCCATACCGATAGAAGAACTTCCTGAGGAAACCGTTTTTACAGAGGAATTAGACGAAAATAAGAAGCCGAAGAAAAAGACTACCAAAACAAGAACATTTAAAAAGCGCGGACCTGATGACGACGAATATTTCCAAATTCAAACGATTGATGAAGAGGGAAAGGAGCCCGTCTCCCTTATCAGAGTTGTAAGCGATGAAAATATTGCTGATATCATTGATATTAGTAAACTCGATGATGAAAAGGTTTCCAAACACAAACAAAAGCCACACAAGCCGAAGGGTAAGAACACATACATACACACTATTCAGACACACAATTCACATAAAAGACTGCCATTGAAGTATACGCAAAAAAATCCAAGTTTTTCCGAAATTTTGTTTCATAAATTTATTCTATTATTGTATCTGTGATATAGGCCTTTAATAACATATTTTTTTGATCATTCCACAAAACACAAACAAACATAAACGCATTAAAACAGCGGAGAAACCAAAGGCCGATTACACAGAAACGGAACACCCAGTTTACATCACGACATTTAAATCTGTTCAAAACGATGATGGAGAAACAACCATACAAACTGAAAACAAGCGTATTTCCCAGGAGGAAGGCGTCGTTGTTGAGGAAGTCCTCAGTGATTCAGAACTCATTCCAGAAGACACGACACAATCACACCTTGAAATTACCGAAGTCAGCGGGCCCACAGGTGAATTTTTTCTCAAAAATAAACATATTTATACACAAGCATACCACATCTACACCATTTTTAAAGCATAAACATAATACTCATTTAATAAGGTTAGGCAGTGTAGATTACAATTCCACATTTGGTTATACATTTACATATAAATATTATAAATTAGAAAGACTGCATACACAAAAACATAATGGATATTTTGTGGAAAATATATTTACTAACAAACTTATCTAATTCACTACAAAGTACGTGGAACCCTAAATTAAAACTATACACAACAAGCCAAATACGTACATGGGTCATTCTTCTACAAATTGATTACATTTCATTATGAAAAATGTTAATAGTTCAAGCCAGAATGTTCTTGTTATGCTTGTGAAAGTGGACTTGATTTGTGGAAGAATTACCCACACTTTAAATAATGTAATATCTTAACCCATGCAAGTATAAAAGCATACCTTTGTACTTTTGCTACGTACAAAGCTCGTGTGCTTTAAAGCATTATATAAAATGCAAATATAAGTGTAAAAACTAGTTTAGTGCTAACACAAAACACATAATTTTTTCTTAAACAGACCAATACAACAAAGAGTACACAATCACTGAACCTGAAGAGGCAAGTGCAGACAGCATACAAAAACCAACTAAAGACAAAAAACCAAAACAGAAAAAACGTTTAGATACTCCTATAGAGGAAGTTGACGAGACCGTTGATATAGTTGAGGGTACTGGGGAACAGACTGACAAGACACCTAAGAAACGAAAGACAAAGAAGGTAGAAGGTAAGGTTGAGGAGGTTACTGCTGAGGAGAAACCAGTTGAACGAAAGGAAAAGCCAAAGAAAAAGAAAGTGGTCAAGTCGAAACAGGATGAAATGGATGACTACATCCAGTTCCTTATACATCAAGAGATTCCAAAGACTGTAATACAACCTTATCAGCGTACAGAAATGCAACTTCCTCAGAGGGCTCGTCGCGACTCGTCCTTCAAACAACCAATGAAACTAACTCCAATGAAAATAGAGAAAGTTGAGTTCAAGAAACCTAAAATGGTGGAAATAAGTTCGGTGGTAGAGTTCCCTCAAATGCTTAAGCTCAAAGCACCTAAGCAAAGACCCCAGGAGGAAAAGAAAAAGAAAAATGAAGCATCCTTTAAGAACAAAAAGCTGAAGAGCTGGATCAGGTTTATTCCATATGCACCTTACTGCTTCCCATATGTGGTTACCGAATTGGAAACTAATCGCGATGCCGGAGAACTTTCCCGGAATGTTCAAGAAGCGGAAGAGGTATTGAAGTTACGTCCAAGGAAATTCAAGCCATCCAAGCCCGAAAAGGTGGAGTTGGAAGAGGCGGATCTGGAGACATTCGACTCAGAGCATTCAGAACTTTCTGATAAGGAGCAACCAAAACCGAAATACCAACGCTCTAAAAAGACAAAGGAAGAAAGTCCAGAGGAAACTAGAAAACTTAAGCTTGGAAAGGGTAAAATTCCGCAAGATGTTACGGCTGTTGAGGAAGTAACTTTAAAACCGGTTAAGCTCAATGTCGCAGAGGAGGAAGACGTTGAAAAGCCATCAAAGGTAACTGAAGAGGAAAAGACCAAGAAAAAGAAGTCCAAAAAGGCCGACAAGCCTGTTGAGGGAATCCAGTTTGAACCCATTGAGCTTAAGGACCATGAAACTACCTCTGAGTTCCCAGAAGAGTCGGACACCTCTCAAGCTGAGGAAACGTCTACGCAGGAGAAGCCTAAATATAAAAGGAAAAAGAGGCCAACTCCTACGCCAGAGAAGAATCAGTACGAAATAACTCCCGGAAAAGGAAAGGGACTTGAAGAAATCCCAGACGATAACCTTGAATTACGCAAGCGCCAAGGAGAAAAACCTGAAGATGAAAAGGAGGACGTTAAGCTCAAGCCATGGTTCAAGTTCGAGGTGCTAGAAGAGGAACCTCAAGATGCTCCAGCTGAAACATTGCCAAGCAGTGAAGCTCCTGAAAAGAAAATCAAGAAAAAACGGAAGCTGAAGCTTAAGACGGAACAGGAAGAGAACATTGTCGATATAGTTGAAATTTCTCCTGAAGATAGCAATGATAAAATCTTTGAAGTTACTGTCACAAGCTCTGAAATTGTACAAGCCGACGAAAAACCAACAAAAACACTTAAAAAGAAGGTAAGGCGAATGAACAAGGAGGAACTTGATAATTTTGTCATACAGTTAATGGAGGAACCAGATCAGAAGTTTTATGAGACCAGCTTGGACGACTTCTATGAGGTCAAACTGACCGAATTGCCGTCAGGCACAGAAGAGGATAAACCTAAAAAGCGTAAAATACGACATGAGAAGGGAGATGATGTGGAGGTTTTGGAAATTGTAGAAACTGTTGCCGCCCCTGGTGAAGAGCCCCTCTACGAAATCACTGTAACTTCCAGTGAAGCTAAGGAACAAGAAGCTGGAGCAAGCCCAGTTGAGAAGATCACAAAGAAAACTAAGAGAATGAAAAAGGACGAGCTCGATGCTTATATTCAGCAACTCATAAATGCAGAGATCCCAGTAACAGAGCTGGAAAGATATGAGAAAATAGATGTTGATGGAAAACCAAAGAAACCCAAGAAGCTCAAGGCTAAGGTGGAGAAACCAATTGTCGATGAAGGCGAAACTCTTCAAGTAGGAGTCACAGAACATGAGCCAATCGAAAAACCAAAGCCCAAGAAGCCAAAGACAAAGAAATTAATAAAGGAAGAAGAATCGATTGAAACCGAGATAGTTCCGGTATACGATGAGTTCCTCATCAAAAAGATTGATTCTGAACGTACTCCAGAGGAAGTCATTGAGGAAGTAGAAGAAGAAGTCCTTCCGGCTTTGGATGAAATTCTGGCAGACTTAGGTGAATCACTTCCCATAGTGGTGGTTGAGGAAGATTTTGAGGCTGTCCCATTGGCTCCTGAAGTATTAATTATTAAGGATGAGAAAATAGTAAAGAAACGAAAGGTGAAAACCAGAAAGGGCTCCAAGCAGTACGAAATCGAAATAATTGAATCTGATAAACCAGTCGATGATCTAGAAGATGCAAAGGTTATAGTCATAACAACTGAAATTTCTGAAGATACAACCGACGGACCCGCTCTTGCAAAACCGGAAGCACCAAAGAAATCGGTTAAAAAGGTAAAGAAGGAAAACCTTAAGGAGTACATTGTCAAAGTAGTCGAAGAAGCACCGTTGGAACACATCGCAGAAATTTCGGAGGATATTGCTCCACTTTCTAGCAAGGAAAGCTCTGTGGAAAAGGATATTAGTTCCTTTGTTACTACGGTTGTAGAGGAGGAAGGTGATGAACCTATTGTCTCGGAAGAAACTAAATCGGAAGAAGTTTCAACCCTTCCAAAGGATAAAAAGAAGAAACCAGTAAAACAGAAAAAGGTTAAAATATCCGAAACTGAGCCCACACCAACGCCTGAAGAGTTGCCCGTCACAGAGTATACAACCGAGGTTGTAGAATCAGATGAAATTCCGGAAACGGAGGAGTATTCAGTGGAAGTAAAGGACAGTTTGCCAAAGAAGAAAAAGAAACCGATCAAACCAGTGAAAGAGGAGTCTCCCGCTGAGGATATATCTCAATACACTATTCGTATTGAGGAGTTGGCTCCGGAAACCACTACCGAAAAAGTAGTCAATGAAGAGGGTAAGGAGGTTGAACGTGTCACCACCAAACGAAGAATCAAAAAGAAACACGGACCGAAAGAATACTTAATTGAAGTTGTTGAGACCTTTGAAGAAAACAAGCCAGAAGCAGATCTTGTTATTCAGACCACTGAAATAACACCAGCTACTGAGTCTAAGCCTCAGGAGGAGCATAAAATAAAAATAGTCAAGGAGAAAAAGCCAAAAACTGAAAGCTTGGATAATTATATTTATAAACTTATCGATCAAGAAATACCTAAAGTGGATCTCGATGAGTACGAAGCTACTGTTTCGGAGCTCTCTCCAAAGGAAAAGAAACACAAGAAAATTAAGAAACATCACAAAAAATCTACAGAGATTATCGATGGAGTACCGACTACTGTTCACGAGATAACCATACAAGAGTTCGAGTCCGATAAGGAAGACTCACTGCCTCAAGAGATCAGCATAAAGGAAACAGATCGTGAACATGCAGAAGAAGCTCCTTTGGATCTGAAAACTAGGGTCTCAGAAGATAAGCCCAAACCAAAAACTAAAAAATCGTTTAAGGCAAAGATCGTTGAAGAGGAACCCCAACCCCAACCAGTAATCGAAGATATTTCAGAGGTCGTAGAAGTAACAGAAGTTATTGAAGAAGACGGCAAGCCAAAGCAGGTTGAAACTAAGAAAAAGAAGGTTTCCCGCAAACATGGTCCAAAAGAACAAGTCTTCGAAATCACCGAGACGAAGTCTAGTGATGAACCTTTGACTGAAGTTACTATTGTTGAAATTTCAGAGGAACAGCCCGAAGAAGAGGTTCCAGAACTTAAAGAAAAGAAACCAATTAAGAAACCGAAGAAAGTGAAACCGGAAGATGTCAAGAACTACGTGATCAATGTTTTAGAAGAGTTCAATGAACCCGTCCAATTTGAAAACATCGCAGAAGTTGTAGAAGTAAGTGAAGTTATTGAAGAAGACGGCACTTCCAAGCAGGTTGAAACTAAGAAAAAGAAGGTTTCCCGCAAACAAGGTCCAAAGGAACAAATCTTCGAAATAACCGAGACGAAGTCTAGCCATGAACCGTTGAGTGAAGTAACTATTATTGAGATTTTAGAGGAAAAACCTCTAGATGAAGTCCAAGAGGTTAAAGAAAAGAAACCAATTAAAAAACCGAAGAAGCTGAAACCAGAAGACGTCAAGAACTATGTGATCAATGTTCTGGAAGAGTTCAATGAACCCGTCCAATTTGAGAAACTTTCAGAGGAAAAAGAGGACAAACCACAACCTATAATTGAAGATATTTCGGAGGTTGTTGAAGTTACACAAGTTATTGAAGAAGACGGCACACCAAAACAAGTTGAAACTAAGAAAAAGAAGGTTTCTCGGAAACAAGGTCCAAAAGAACAAATTTTCGAAATCACCGAGACCAAAACCAGCGACGAACCAATGGCTGAAGTTACAATCGTCGAAGTTACGGATGAAACGCCTAAGCAGGACATAGAACAACTTAAGGAAAAGAAACCAATTAAAAAACCGAAAAAATTAAAGCCTGAAGAAGTCGAGAGCTATGTAGTTAATGTTCTGGAAGAGTTTAACGAGCCATACAAGTTTGAGGAGACTGAACTACCAGTTATTGAAGACATTGCGGAATCCGTGGAAGTTGTGAAAGTTACGGAGGATGATGGCACTACTAAGCAGGTTGAGGTTAAAAAGAAGAAGGTTTCTCGGAAACAAGGTCCAAAGGAACAAATCTTCGAAATCATCGAGACCAAAACCAGCGACGAACCATTGGCTGAAGTTACTATCGTTGAGGTTACAGATGTAAAGCAAACCGAAGAGAGTGTACTTCCCAAGGAAAAGAAATCAATAAAGAAACCGAAAAAATTGAAACCAGAAGACGTCGAAAGCTATGTGATTAATGTTCTAGAAGAGTTTAACGAGCCATACAAGTTTGAGGAGACTGAACAACCAGTTATTGAAGAAATTGCGGAATCCGTGGAAATTGTGAAAGTTACCGAGGATGATGGCTCTACCAAGCAGGTTGAGGTTAAAAAGAAGAAGGTTTCTCGGAAGCAAGGTCCAAAGGAACAAATCTTCGAAATCACGGAAACAAAAAGTAGTGATGAACCTTTGGCTGAGATTACTATTGTCGAGGTAACAGACGAAAAACCAAAGGAAGACATTGTTATACTTGAGGAAAAGAAACCAATTAAGAAACCGAAGAAACTGAAACCAGAAGACGTCAAGAACTATGTAATCAATGTTTTGGAAGAGTTCAATGAACCCGTCCAATTTGAACTTTCAGAGGACAAAGAAGACAAACCACAACCAATAATTGAGGATATTTCTGAGGTTGTAGAAGTTACACGAGTTATTGAAGAAGATGGCACACCAAAACAGGTTGAAACTAAGAAAAAGAAGATTTCCCGTAAACAGGGTCCAAAAGAACAAATTTTCGAAATCACCGAGACCAAAACTAACGACGAACCACTGGCCGAAGTTACAATCGTCGAGGTTACGGATGAATCGCCTAAGCAGGACGTAGAACAACTTAAGGAAAAGAAACCAATTAAAAAACCGAAAAAATTAAAGCCTGATGAAGTCGAGAGCTATGTAATTAATGTTCTGGAAGAGTTTAACGAGCCATACAAGTTTGAGGAGACTGAACAACCAGTTATTGAAGACATTGCGGAAGTCGTGGAAATTGTGAAAGTTACGGATGATGATGGCTCTACTAAGCAGGTTCAGGTTAAAAAGAAGAAGGTTTCTCGGAAACAAGGTCCGAAGGAACAAATCTTTGAAATAACTGAGACAAAAACTAGCGACGAACCTTTGGCTGAAGTTACTATTGTCGAGGTAACAGACAAAAAGCCAAAAGAAGAAGTTGTTCAATTTAAGGAAAAGAAAGTAATCAAGAAACCAAAGAAACTTAAGCCTGAAGACGTTGAGAGCTATGTAATTAATGTATTGGAAGAGCAGTTGGAGGATACAGAGCCTCTTGTTAGGGAAGAACCCGTCGAACCTAAGGCCAAAATCAAGACTCCAAAGAAGCCAAGCGAAAAACCAATCGAAAAGAAAATTCAAATTGAAGAAATGGCTCCTGAAACTGTTATACAAAATGTTGTAGACGAAAAGGGAGAGGAAGTAAAACAAGTTAAGACAACAAAGAAGCTTAAGAAGAAGGAAGGTGATAAGGAGTATCTCATTGAAATAACAGAAACATATCAAGAGAACAAGCCAGAGGCCGACATCGAATTCACTACCACAGAGTTACCTTCTGAAGACTCTCCAAATGTTGCCGAGGATCAACCGGTCAAGGTTCTTCAAAAAGTGAAGAAGAAGAAGCCAGTTAAGGACGATCTTGATAAGTACATTCAACAGTTAATCGAACAGGAAATCACAAAAACACCTCTAGAAGAATACGAGCCGACGGAAATGGATGTGAAGCCAAAGCAACCCAAGAAGAAAGTAAAGACTCACCATAAAAAGACAATAGAAGTTGTTGATGGTTTGCCGGTTACCATTCATGAATTTGATGTGGAAGAAATAATCCCAGAACCGGAGGACGTTGAAGAACCTGAGATCTTAATAGAGGAAGTCGAGGAATTACCAAAAGAGACGGACACTTCTGCTTACCTTGTGAATATTTCTGACGAATTCGTTGAAGCTGAGGAGCCAGTCGAACAGTCTTCTGAAGAGAAACCGAAACCAGTTAAAAAGGAGAAACCAAAGAAAACGAAAAAGGTTGAGACTCCTGCTCCATTGGAAGAATTGGCTAGCACGGTTGAAGTCGTTACCCAACCAACGGAAGAGGGAACTGTTAAAGAAGTTACTGTCAAGAAACGCAAGGTATCGCGTAGAAAGGGGTCTAAGGAGCACATCTTTGAGATCACAGAAACAACAAGTGAGGATCAGCCTACAGCCGAAGTTACAGTTGTTGAGCTGAGCAGCGATAACGACTTAGTTTCTGAAGAAAAGCCAAAGCCAGAAAAGAAGATCGTTAAAAAGCCAAAGCAGTTGAAGAAGGACGAAGTTGAGGAATACGTCATTAATATTATTGAAGAGTTCGTTCAGCCTGTTCCTGCTGACTTAGTTGAAAGTGAAGAAGAAGTTAAGGAGAAAGAAACTAAAAAATCAAAGAAATCTCCAAAAACGTTCACGGTCACAGAAAAAGAAACCGCAGATATCAAGGCTCCTGTGGTGGAGGAGGAAGATGTAGAGCAGACGATTGAGTCCGTTTCAGAGGAGTCACCAGAATCTCCTGAGTATAGCATCGGAGTCAAGGAGGAAATCGTGGCTGAGGAGCAGAAACAACCCAAGACCAAAAAGGTATCCAAGACTAAACCTGTCAAGCAGCCAGTTTCGGAGGAAAGCCAAGACTATCTTGTTAAAGTTAAGTCTGAAGAAAGCTTGAGAGAAGAGCCAATCTCTGAACATGAAGCAGTTGTGATTGAAACTGAAGAAAGTAAGCCATCTGAGGAACCTGCTTTCCAGGTCGAAGAAATAGAAACTGAGGAAGTAGAGAAAGAAATCATCGACGACAAGGGAGAAACATTAACGCAAACTGTAACCAAACGAAAGATCAAAAAACAAGTTGGCCCCAAGGAAGAAATTATAGAAATTGTGGAAACTAAGACCGGAGGTACCCCAGAGTACGAGGTCATTGTAACCACAGAAGAGGCCGAACCTGTTAGCGAAGAAGTTCCTCAGGAGGAAAAGCCAAAGAAGATTCGCAAAGCCAAAAAGGTTCCGAAAGACGATCTTCATGACTATATACAAAAGCTTATTGAACAGGATATACCAAAGACCGAACTGGAGAAGTACGAAAAGATCGACTTAGACGAGCCTGTCAAAATGAAGAAGAAACCTATCAAAAAAGTCAAGCAGTCTGAAGAACAGCCAAGAGGAGACAGTGAAGAGAGAATCGATGAAAAGCCAGTGAAAGAGATTCCTGAAATTTCAGAAGGTGACAAAGAGGAACCGACGCTAACTTTTTCAGTCAAGGAGTTTATTCCGGAAAAGCCAGAAGAAAAACCATTCGAAATAGTGGTTCTTGAAGAAACAGTAGAGACCAAGCAGATTCCAGATGAAGAGGGAGTAGTAAGGGAAAAGGTGGTTAAGACTAAGAAGATAAAACAGAAGAAGGGTCCTGAAGAAATAGTTCATGACATTGTCGAGGTAACTGATAAGGACACAAATGAATCTGAAATAACTGTCACAACCACGGTTCCTACGGAAACCCCTGATCAGGAGGTGCCTTCACCTAAACAGAAACGAACTAAGAAGATTAAAAAGGACGAAGTCGAAGACTTTATCAAGTCCGTTATTGAAGAGGATGTACCACAGCCTACTGAATCTGATAACGTTGTGGCCATTACCGAGGACTCTCCATCTAAGCCAACCGTAGAGAAATCGAAGAAAAAACCGAAGAAAGAAAAGCAACCTTCCGTTCAGGAACAAGTGCCTGAAGAGGACGTAGTTGCCGTTATCGAGTCTCTTCCGGAGGATTATCCAGTTAATGATGATCTTATAACTGTTGTAGAATCAGCTCCAAGCGTGTCAGAGCCTGAACACAAAATAGAGCTCGTTGAAGAGGCTAAGAAACCCGAGAAGAAAAAGAAACCAAAATCTGTAGTTACAGTTCACGAAGAACAACCGGTAGAAGACACTGTAGAAAAGACTTTTGAAGTCAAACAAGTTGAGTCTGATGAAGAAAAACCAGATGTTCAGGAATTCAGTGTTTCTGTAGCAGATGAAGAAAAAACAGAACCTAAGCCTGAGAAAAAGAAGACTCCTAAAAAACAAAAAGAAGAGGCAGAGCAACCTTTCGAGGAGAAATACGAGATTTCTGTGGAGGAAAATGTCTTGCAGCCTGAGGAAAAGCCGTTTACAGTTCAGGTAATTGAAAGCGAGACAAAGGTCGAAGAAACCAAGGACGATACCGGTGAAACACATAAGAAAATTACCACCAGAAGAAAGTTAAAACGACCGGAAGGTGAAGGGGAAATTGAGATTATTGAAGTGATTAAGGACGATCAGCCTGAAGCGGAAATAACTATTGTAGAGTATGAACCTGAGCCCATAACGCAGGATGAAAAGCCCAAGGAACCCAAAAAGAAAACCAAAAAGGTTAAAAAGGATGATATTCATGACTACATACAAAAGTTAATTGACATGGAAACGCCCAAGACTGAGCTTGAAAAGTATGAGAAAATAGAATTCGAGCCAACAGTTAAGGACAAGCCATTAGATAATATAGTTGATGTAGTGGACGAAACGCCTTCTGAAAAGCCGAAAAAAGATAAGAAGGTTAAGTCCAAGGAAGTTCCCAAAGATGAAAGTCCTGTTCCAGATCAAATAGCAGAGGTTAAAATAGTAGAAGAAGATGCTCCTGAACAACCCCAAATACCAGTTGAAGTTGTGGAAGTTAAACCTGTTGAGGTACAAGTCCAAGAGGTTATCACAGAAGAGGGAAAGCCTGTTCAAGAAAAGATAACCAAACGAGTTTTGAAGAAGAAGGGACCTCAAGAAGAAACGACCTTTAAGATTACCACTATTGAAAGCGAGGACAACGATTCAGTTACAGTTATCGTTGATGAAGAACCAGAAGAGGCTCCAGTACAGGTTATTCAGGAAGAGCCTGAAAAGGCTGAAGAGAAACCAAAACCAAAGCCTAAGAAAATAGTAAAGAAGGTTAAGAAGGACGATTTAGATGACTATGTAAAAAGGCTTATAGAAGAAGAAATTCCTAAGGTAGAGCTTGAAAAATATGAAAAGGTAGAAATGCCAGAGGAGCCTAGTAAGCCAGCTCCTTCGGAAATTATTCCGGAACAAGCTAAACCAGAAGCAACTGAGCCAGCAACAATAGTTCCTGACACAACCAAACCCAAGAAGACCAAGACTTCTAAGCCAAAGACAGAACCCACAGACGAACAAGTACTTGACGTGCCGACAGAGACCATTTTAGACACCACTGACACAGCAGAGATCACACCAACTCAAATTGCACAACCCGAGGACACAGCCAATGCACAAATTACACCAAGCGCACAAGAAGAGAAACCTACTCAAGATGACACTAAAGATACAATTCAGAAAACAGTTAAACATAAGAAAACAAAACCAGACACACAAAAAAGCGTTGAAACAAGTAAGTTATTAGCAGAGTGTTCTTGGAGCCTTCGAATTCCTGCCGCCCTTGCAGCGCCTTTTGCTCCTTTGTCTGTGTCCTTCGCATATGTTTATTTCCCTTTGAAGCCACGTTGATTTCCAATTGTTGCGTCTACCCCACCTATGTTTCTCTTCTTTTCTCTCGCTGTTGGATTCTGGCTCTCCTATTTTGAGCCATTTCTATAGCGATTCTAATCTCTTCCAGTTCAACATTAAAGCCTTCCAACACAGTAACTCTATAATAATCTCTTATGCATGAATAACTTTGTTATCATTTAAGTAGTGTAGAAATTCGTTGTCTTTTACCTAACGTACCTAAACATCACGCCATCCCTAACCTAATCCAAACACCGCCTAAATGTTTCTATAATCAAAATATTGTATTTACTCCTTTCTTTTGGTTTTTAAATGTTTTCCTTCAACCGCTCTCTATGTAAATACAGCCTCAAAATATGTCTTCTGTCCAGTTCACCGAAAAGCTTGCTTTGCAAAAGCAATGCACGGTTCCCCGGGGTTGTCTATAGTATTAAGCACCAATGACTTAACCTCTTATGCATTTTTTATAACAGGTGAACTGCCAGAGGTTCAAAAAGATTATCAAATTAACATCATTCACGAGGAGCCCGTCGAGGAAGAGCAGCCCGAAAAGATTTTGGAGGTCCGAGTTATCGACGAAGTCGCCGAAGTTGTGGAATCCCAGCCTATTGTGGAAGAGTTTGAAGAGGAGGAGGAACAACCCATTACAGAAGAAGTTACTGAGGATGTAACTAAGCCAAAGACTAAAAAGAAGAAGGTTGTCAAAAAGAAGACAGATGACCATGATGAAATCATCAGAAAGATGTTGGAACAGGAAATCGAGAAGACCGAACTGGAGAAGTACGAGAAAATTGAGTTCGATGTTCCCAAGAAACTCAAGCCAGAATTTGCCACTCTTGAGCCGATGAAAATCGAGCGCAAGGAACAGAAGCCGACAAAGGTGACTATTGTCGAGGCTGCTGATGTTCCCAAAACGGTGAAGCTTAAGCCTGGTAAGCGTAAGGAGAAACCTGCCGAGGAACAGACTGTTCAACTGCCCAAGTTCCGACTCAAGGCTCGTATGGTCATGGTCGAATACCCTCCGGCTCCGTTAATTCCGAAAATAACTGAAATTGGAGCCATAAAAGATAATGGAGAACTATCTCGTAACATTGAAGAGGCTGAAGAAGTCCTTAAGTTCAAGCCGCAGAAGACTAAGAAAATCAAGAAGATCAAGGATGATTTAGAAAAGGTAGAACTTGAAAAGTACGAGAAATACGTTAGTAGCGAGGAAGAACCTGAGGAAAAGGCCCCTTATAAGAAACCTGAAAAGCCAGCAAAGCCTGAGGAGAAACCAGATGACGTAAAACTCAAGCTGGGCAAGGGCAAGAAGAAGCCAAAGGAGGAAGAACAACCTGAAAATGTTACTCTCAAAAAGATTCCTCAGAAGCCTCAGGAAGCTGTGGAAGAAGTTGAGCTAAAACCGAAACCTAAGGAGGTTGTTGTTGTTGAGGAAACACCAAAGGAGCCCAAGGAAGGAGAGTTTATTGTGCCGCCATTCGAACCTACTGAATTCGATAGTCCTGAATATGTTCCCGAGGAACTTGAGCCAATCGATCATCCAGAGAAGCCTGAGAAACCCAAGAAGCCTTCTAAGACTAAGTATAAGCCTAAAGATAAGTCGAAGCCCGAACCGGAAACCATTATCTCGGAGATAGTACCTGGTGTACCAAAGGAGGAAGAGGAAGTACCCGAACAAGAAGTAAAGTTCCGTATACCCGAGAGAGATGCCCCAGAAGAGACAGACTCAGATATTAAGCTACGCCCTGTACCCCAGACTCCTAAGGCTGAAGAGCCTATCGAGCAAGCTGTGGTGAAACCCAAGGAGGAGCCTCAGCCAGAAGAAATACCAGATAAGCCTGAAGAAGTCGAACCGAAACCGAAGAAATCTAAGCCTAAGAAGGCCCCATCGAAGGAGAAGGAGATCCCTGAAGAGAAGGTTGAAGAATTCGAGGTATCTGTGAAAGAAGAGGAGGCACCAGAAGATAAGCCCGTCGAATCCGAGAAACCAAAGGAAGTTAAGGTTAAACAGAAGAAGACCAAGGAAGCACCTGTATCGGAAGTCACAGTATCTGAGGAAGTACCCAAGCCGGAGGAAGTACCAGAGGAGATTCCTGTTGAGTACAAGATAACAACTACCGTGCTGGAGCCCGAGGAGGCACCAAAGGAACACCAAGTTCGAGTCATTGATTTCGATGAGCGTCATGAAACTACGGAGGAAGTTATTGAAGAGAAGGTGGTAACGCGCAAGAAGAAGCCAAAGCCGCAGCAGCCCGAAGAATTCGAGGTTACCCTAAAGGAACCAAAGGAAGAACAAAAACAACCCGAAGAAGTTTCGGCAGAAATTTCGCTGTCAGCTGAACAACCCGAGCAGAAGCCGGAAGAGTTTGAAATCGAACTTAAACTCTCTGAGCCCACTCCAGAAGAGCCTGTTGAACAGGAAATCGTTGTCAAGGAAAAGACCAAGAAGAAACCCTCTAAAGAAATCAAGGAGGACAAGATCGTGGTGGTGGAGGAAGAAGAAAAGGCCCAACCAATTGAGGAAACAGTTGTCGAGGTTGAAAAGCAGGAAGAAAAGAAGAAGACAAAGAAGCCGAAGACCTATGAGTTCCAAATCACAGAAACCGAAGCGGTGGAAGAAAAGCCAGCCGAAGTGGTTGAGGAAATTCCTGAAGAAGTACCCAAGGTTGAAGAAGAAAAGGTTGTTGAAAAGTTCGATTCCTATGAAATTACTCTAAAGGAAACTGAAGCTGAAAAGGTAGTCGAAGTTGAGGAACAGCCCGAGGAAGAAACTCCTCAGGAAGTTGTCATAAAGAAAAAGCCGAAGAAACCTGAAGAAGTCGAAGCCGAATTCGTAATAACCGAACCTAAGGTTACAGAAGAAACAACTGTGGAAACTGAAATCAAGCAGAAGAAAACTAAAAAGCCCAAGAAAACCGAGGAAGAGGCTCAACTAGAGATAAAGGTAGTCGAAACTGAAGCTCCTGTTCCTGAAGAAGTTGTGATTGAAGCTCCCGAGGTTGTGATTGAAGAGCAGAAGGAAGTTGTTGTTGAAGAAAAGCCCGAAGAATTTAAAATTCGCGTCTCTGAAACTGAAGCTAAGCCTGAAGAACCAAGCGAGGCCCAATTTACAGTGAAAAAACGCAAGCCTTCTGTCACTTTCGCCGACGAACCTGCAACAGAAATCATTCTTAAGGAGAGCAAGCCCATTGAAGAAGTTACCGAGGAAGCTCAAATCAAGACCAAGAAACCCAAAAAGAAGGTAAAGGATGTGGAAGCTGAGGAATTGAAGATCCAGATCACTGAGGAGATTCCACAGGAAGTCCCTATAGTTGAGGAAGTCGAAGAAGAGGAGGTAATCACAGAAGTCAAGGAAGAGGTGCCGGTGGTGGAAGAAAAGACATACAAAATTGGCATTAAAGAGACTCAGCCAGAGAAACCTGTAGAAAAGGTTGTCGAGGAAGAGCCGGTGGTAACTGAGCCAATTGTGGAAGAGCCGCAACCCGAAGTCTTCGAAGAACACAAGGTTAGAGTCATTGAGGAAACTCCTCGAGAATTAGTCGAGGAAGTCATCGAGGAGGAGGTGAGGGTCATTCGCAAGAAGAAGCCTAAGCCAGAAGTCAAGGAGGAACCAGAGGCGGAAGTTACTGTTTCTGCTCCGAAGCCTGTCGATGAAGTGGAAGCTACGACTAGTATTGCTATTGTCCCCGAACAGCCAACCGAGGAGGAGGCCGCTGATCTCAAGATAACAATCACTGAAGAAGTGGCACCATCTCCAGAACTTGTCCAAGAAATTGAAGAAATTGAAATCATAGAGGAACCACAGGCTCCAGAAGAAAAACCTGATGACTTCAGTTTCGTAGTTAAGGAATCCGAAAAAGAGCGCACAGTAGAAGAGCTGCCTGAGGAACAGTTCACCATCCAGAAGAAGAAAAAGAAGGCTCCAGTTGCCGAGGTTGTCGAAGAACCCGAAGCTGAATTCTCGATTAAGCCGAAGCAGCCTGTACAAGAAGTTTCTGAGGAAGCCAAGATTAAGAAGAAGTCTAAGAAACCAGTGAAGGAAGAGGAAGCAGCTGCCGAGCTTAAAGTTACTCTGACTGAGGAAGTTCCCGCAGAACCAGAAGTCCAAATTATTGAGGAAATCGAAGAAGTCGTCGAAGAAAAGCCAACTGAGTATACGATTGGCGTTAAGGAAACTCAGCCAGAAGCTCCTGAGGAGCAGGAAGTAACCTTACCCAAGAAGAAGCCAGAGCCTGCTTCAGTGGTTGAAGAGCCAGAGGCCGAAGTTACTTTGAAGCCGAAGCCAAAGGTTGAAGAAGTTCAGGAAGAAGCCAAGATCGTGAAGAAGAAACCAAAGAAGCCTGTCGAGGAAGTACAAGCCGAAGAGCTAACAGTCAAGGTGGAAGAAGAAATAATTCCTGAGCCGATAGTGGAGGAAGAGGTGATTGAAGAAGTCCAGTTTGAAAAGCGATCAGAAAAGCCTGAGCCGGAGGACATTGTCGATGCTGCGGTTGTGAAACTCAAGAAACCGGAGCCCGTAGAGGCAGAAGAAGTGGTGGCCGAAGTCACTCTGAAGCCGAAGGCGCCGAAGGAAGTTACAGAAGAAGAATTCTCTGTTGATGTAAAGCTTCCGAAGGAAAAGAAGGTTACCGAGGAAACTTCTGACCAAACTGTACAGCTCAAGAAAAAGAAAAAGCCACAGAAGGCTGCTGAGGAGGCTGCTGACGAGCTTGTGCTAAAGCAGACTGTTGTTGAAGAAAGGCCAGTCGAAATTGAAGAAGAAGAGATCGTTGAAGAAGCAGTCGTCATTCGCAAGAAGCCGAAGAAGCCCTTCGAGCCAACGGTTGAAGATCTCGAAGAAACAGAGTTCAGTCTATCCTTTAAAAAGCCTCACACTATTAATGAGGGCGTTGAGGAGGCCGCAACTGTTCTGAAGAAACGGCCAGTAAAACCGACAACTGTGGATGAAGCTGCTGCTGAACTTTCTATCCAGCGCCTAGAAGAGGAATACGAAGAGGGTGACGACGTTGAAGAGTTCGTCGTTAGTCAGCGAAGAAAGCCTAAGCCTCTGCAGATCACAGACGAGGGTGAGGAGGCCTACACGGTGAAAAAACTGAAGCACCGTAAGAAGGTAGACATTCCCGAATACGCTGACGTTGAAAACGTGACATTCCGTGCCAAATCAACCAAGACCAAAGAAGACATCGACCAGGAATTCAACATTGCCCTGGATTCGTATGCCGAGGAGGAGATATCCATGTCCGGAAAAGTAAAGCTTAAGAAACCCGTCAAGAAGACCTTCTCTGAAGCAGCCGATGAGGCCAAGATCAAGATCATGCAAGACTACGATGATGGTGAAGAGGCCATTGTCGAAATTCGCGACGATGAGGACACTATCGATGAAGTCGATGAACCCGAAGAATACTTTATTGAGGAACTACCGCCAGATGAAGTGGACTTCAAGCTGAAGCCAAAGAAACAGCCCAAGCCAGCCTACTCCATTCAGGATGAGGAGGAAGAACAGTTCCTGATTGGTATCAGACATCCTAAACGCGATTCGGTAACCTACGATGAGGACTCCCTCACCTTCAAGAAGAAACGTAAAGTTATTCAACAACTTTTCAACGAAGGTAAGTTGGTTTTGCCACCGACAACGGTAATCTTTATAAAACTCAAAATGCTTTATTTTTACATAAATAAATATCAGCTTATATGATATCAGAGTGGCAAGGTAAAAATACCCAACTTGAATGTCGGTTGCTAACGCTTAACCATTCATTGTTCACAACTCAAAAATAATGAAAACAATTTCGAGAAAATATATTAAAAATGTTACGTTTTTCGCAGATGGAGCTTCCCTCAATATTACCAGAGAAATGGATGTTGAAGGTAAGTAAACATTAATTTAAAAAAATAATAAAAATATAAAAACTCTTCTTTATACATTTTAGAATCCGAAAATGCGAATGTTATGTATTCCATCTGCAACTACATTGCCGACAACGATGAGGCCATAAACCTTGTCGAGGGTGAGAAGGTAACAGTGGTTGGACGCCACAGCTCTGAGTGGTGGTATGTCAAGAAGAGCATTACGGAGGAGGAAGGCTGGGTTCCAGCTCAATATCTGATGGAGCCCGAGGAATATGCGCAGTACGTGCAGAACAAATTGCACGAGAAAATCGACAAGCTGCCTGTGTTTGAACGTAAGCAATAACTTTAAAAATTTTGTATATTTGTAATCTAACAATTATTTGTAACCGTCCACGTTTCGTTATTTACCAATTATTTGATGTTTTTGTTGTGATTGTGAACTGTTAAGGTCCTGGACCGGAAGACAAACCCATTGCCCCGAGATTTATTGAGAAACTTCAGCCGATTCATACTCCTGATGGCTACACGGTACAGTTCGAATGCAAGGTGGAAGGCAACCCACGACCACAGATTGCCTGGTTCCGTGAAACTGCTATTATTAAGCCCTCACAGGACTTCCAAATGTTCTATGATGATGACAATGTGGCTACTTTGATCATTCGCGAGGTGTTCCCCGAGGACGCCGGCCAGTTCACAGTTGTGGCCAAGAACGCTGCCGGATTCACATCCAGCACGACGGAACTGATTGTGGAGAGTCCACTGTCCGATCACGGCTCCGATGCCACAGCCCTATCACGTCGCAGCATGTCCCGTGAATCGTCGCTGGCTGACATTTTGGAGGGCATTCCACCGACATTCTCCAAAAAACCAAAGGCTCAGTATGTTGACGAGAATACGAATGTGATTCTCGAGTGCAGACTGGTGGCCGTACCAGAACCGGATATTGTCTGGACCTTCAATGGCGAGGATATTGACGAGGAGGAGATCAAGAACGTTCGCATCGTTACCGAATCGGACATGCACATGTACTGCAGTGTGGTGCACATCACCAAGGTGAAGAAATCACAGGAAGGCACCTACGAGGTAATTGCCACCAATCGTGAGGGCGAGGCACGCCTGCCCATCACTCTGAAGGTGCGAACAGCCGATAAGGAAGCCCCGCAAATCCTGGAGCCCTTGCGCAACATGGTCATCCGCGAAGGCGAAAGTGTGGTGCTTTCCACCCAGATTGTGGGCAATCCACCTCCTAAGGTAACCTGGTTCAAGGATGGCAAGCCCGTTAAGAATGCCAAGTCCGACAAGGATTTGCATACGCTTACACTGATCACACCTAAAAAGTCTGAGAAGGGTGAATACACGGTCAAGGCCGTCAATCCATTGGGCAGTGTAGAGACCACTGCAAATCTAACAATCGAAGGTAGGTTATTTGTTTTCTGTTTTTGTTTAAAATAATTTGTATATTCAACAACTACTAATAATAATATAAATTTTCTACATTTAGAGCCCACAAGCGGCAATGCGGAGCCACCACTCTTCGTGGAACGCTTTGAGGAGCAGAATGTTCCACAGAAGGGCGAGATCCACTTGCCTGCCAAGGTTTCCGGAAATCCGGTGCCAGAGGTTCAATGGTTGTTCAACAACGCTCCATTGTTCCCCAGCGAGCGCATTCAGCAGGTTTATGATGGCGAGAACATCGAGCTCATCATCAAGGATGCCAATCCAGAAACCGATTCGGGTGACTACAAGTGTATTGCCAGTAACCCTGTGGGCAAAACGTCGCATGGTGCCCGTGTAATTGTGGAGGTTGATGAAGTTACCTTCACTAAGAAACTTAAGAAGACCATCACCATCGAAGAGGTACAATCTCTTACACTGGAGTGCGAGACCTCTCACGTGGTCTCCACCAAATGGTTCTTCAATGGCAAGGAACTCAGCGGCATGGATCATCGTGTTGTGGTTGAAGACGGAAAAACTCATAAGTTGGTAATCAGAAATACGAACCTACGTGACTCAGGATCCTATACATGCAAGGTTAAAAAGCAAGAAACTCAATCGACTGTCGAGGTTCTGCAGCGTAAGCCTGACTTTATCAAGGTCTTGGAGGATTACGAAGTAACCGAGAAGGATACTGCCATTTTGGACGTCGAACTTACGACCGAGTCCACCGAAGTTACCTGGTTTAAGGACGGTGAGAAGATTACCCCAGAAAATAAGAGCGTCGAGTTCATTAAGGATGGCAAGGCACGTCGTCTCGTTATCCGCAATACCACCATCCACGATGAGGGTACGTACACGTGCAAGATTGAGGGACAGGAGTGCAGTTGTGAACTGGTTGTCATCGAGCTGCCTCCGGAGATCGTTGAGCCGCTGAAGGACATTTCGGTGACAAAGGGTGAGAACGCCGTTTTCGAGGTTGAACTTAGCAAGGGAGATGCCTTGGTCAAATGGTTCAAGAACGGCAAGGAGATTGTGTTCAATGAACGTATTCAGTTGTCCATCGATGGCAAGAAGCAATCTTTGCGTATTGTTAAGGCCAAGCCAGAAGATGCAGGTGAATACTCCGTCCAGGTGGGTGATCATACATCCAAGGGCAAGCTGACTGTAGAAGAACCACTTGTGGACTTTGTCATCCGGTTGCCGGATGTTACATTGGCTACCAAGACTACGGATGCCGAGTTTACAGTGCAGCTATCGCAGCCCGATGTTGAGGTTACCTGGTGCAAGAAGGGCAAGCCAATCAAGCCTAACAAGAAACATGAGGTCTTCGTCGAGGGAACTGTTCGACGACTGGTCATCCACGATGCCAGCGATGAAGATGCTGGTGAGATCAGCTGTGTGGCCGAGAACGTCACTAGCAGCACTAAGCTGTGCGTCGAGGAGCTCAAGCTGCCACCCGTCATTACATCTGACAAGGATCAAACCATCAAGGTTAAGGAGAACGACGATGCCACCTTCACTGTCAAGTACACGGGCGTACCAACGCCCGAGGCTGTTTGGACCATGCGCAAGGTTGTCATACCCAAGTCAAAGCGGACAATCCCGGCCATCGATGAGCAGTCAGCCACGCTAACTATCAAAAAGGTTGTCGACGATGACGAGGGCGAGTACACCGTTAAGCTCGTTAACCCGGTGGGCGAGGCGGAGGCCAGCCTACATTTAGTCATTATGCGTAAGTAGCCCAGCTTATATGCAAGTTAATTGGTGCGGAACTGAGAACCCTAATCAAATTCTTAGGCAAGCCAACGGCACCTGGCACTCCCCAACCCTTGGAGATAATGCACGACTCCATTACGCTCTACTGGAAGGCGCCAGAGGACGATGGCAAGTCGGAAATTATCGAGTACATTCTGGAGTATCACGATGTTAAGGAAGAAAAGTAAGTTCTAAGCAATGTTTTCAAAATTTAATTCTTGCACTTAACAAATGTAACCTAGAAATGTAAAATAAGCCAAAAATTGAGGTGTGCAAGTACTAAATATGTAATATTCTTCCACTTTAGATGGACTGAAATTAGAAAGATCAAGGACACTACGTATACCATAAGTAAGCTGAAAATCGATACGGAGTATGTGTTCCGTTCGATAGCAGTTAACGAAGTTGGACCATCGCCGCCCTCGCCTCTATCGCCACCCATTCGACTGGTCCCCAAGGTTGAGACCGAGGCACCCAGCGTACGGGAACCACTGCAGGATGTGGTCAGCGAACTGGAAAAGGAGGTGACGCTGTCCTGCGTGTTCGGCGGCATTCCAGAGCCAAAGGTGACGTGGAAGAAGAACGGCCAGGTGTTTGAGTCGAGCAGCATTCGCTACGAGAACCGCGTGGCCAAGTACACAATTGAAAAGACAACCATTGAGACTGAAGCCACCTACACGTGCGTGGCAACCAATGAGAAGGGCTCCGTGGAGACCTCGTGCCGCCTGAAGCTGCAGCAGAAGCCCATCCTCGAGGTGGAGGACAAGTATTTAACCCAGAAACTGCGCACGGGCAGCACTCTCATCATTCCAGCGACGGTCAGCGGCTATCCACAGCCTACTGTGACCTGGCACAAGGAGCAGGTCGAGCAGAAGACCACGAAAACGGTCACCATTGAGACCACAGAGACTACTTCAACCTACACCGTTAAGAAGGTGACCCGCGAACAAGCCGGAAAGTACAACGTGACGGCCACCAACGAATCCGGCTCTACGTACGTTGAATGCACGGTTCAGGTGATCGATAAGCCCAGCAGGCCTCAGTCTCTGGAGATCAAGGACATTAAGAAGGACTCGATCACCCTGGAGTGGACGCCTCCAATTGATGACGGTGGTCTGGAGATTAACAAGTACACATTGGAGAAGTGCGATGTCCAAAACAATGTTTGGATGAAGGTCTCCGACTTTGACAAAGACATTAAATCGTATGCAGTTCAAAAACTATCCATGAATGCGCAATACATGTTCCGTGTGGTGGCCGCTAATCCCATTGGCGAGTCTGAGCCAACGGAAAGTGATCCCGTAACTATAACTAAGAAGTTCGGTGAGTTTATCTTAAAGTATAAATAGATATTAATTAAAGAACATTAAGAAAATATTCCATTAAATAAATTCCTTATAAATTTGCAGAAAAACCATCGCCACCACGTGGTCCTACCACTGTGTCTGGCATGAACGATACTTCCTTCAACTTGGCATGGGAGCCATCCGAAACCGATGGCGGCTCAAAGATCATTGAGTACATTGTGGAGATAAGGGAAGAGACTGAAACTATATACCGATCGGTGGGTGTATCTCTAGGCACTGTCACCAACATCCATGTCGAGAAGGTGGTCAGAAACAAGGGCTATCTGTTCCGCATCTATGCGAGAAACGAGGTTGGCACCAGCGAGGCGTTCGAGACCACGGAGAAGATTGTCGTGGGACGCAAGATAAGTAAGTTTCCGCGCCAATTTTCATTTTATCACAGTTGCTTATTCCTTTTGCCAATTGCTTTATTTTAAAACGCCACTAATGCTTAAACCTGCGATATTCTAACCCCAAAATGTCAACAGCTAAAGATAATGAAGTGCTAGGTACGTAAGAGTAATAGAAAAACATATTTAAATGTTTGCAATGTTCGAATTCTAATGGTATTTTGTGTGTTTAATATACAGCGCCGCCATCGCCACCTCAGAACTTGAGGGCGCCGGATGTCACCAGCCGAAGTGTTACTTTGGATTGGGAGGTGCCAGCCCGCAATGGTGGATCAGAAATCACGGGTAAGCCAGACCACGTTTTAAAATATATTGAAGATCCCAGCTGACCCTTAACTTTCCCTACAGGTTATTGTGTGGAGAAACGCTCCTCAACATCTACAACCTGGACTAAGGTCATTACACTGGATGCTCACCAGCTGCACTACACGATTGACAATCTGAAGGAGAAGTGCGAGTACTGGTTCCGTGTGTCTTCGGAGAATGAGGTTGGACTAGGTGCACCAGCCGTCACCGAGAGCATATCGCTCAAGACACATGCCAGTAAGTCCAAATGGTTAGACCCTCTATGTAAATCCTCTACTAATATCGGTTTTAATTTAGCCGTACCCTCACCACCGACCGCTCCACTGGAGGCGCGCGTTCTTGCCGCCAATGCCCACATATTCGAATGGGGTATACCCGAGTCAGATGGAGGTGCGCCTCTGCTCGGCTACCACATTGCTATACGGGACATGAAGAAGACCATGTGGATCGAGGTGGGTCGTGTGCCAGCTGGCGTTCAGAAATTCCAGATTAGAGATCTGCAGGAGAACCACGAATACATGATTCGCATATTCGCGAAGAACGAGATTGGTCTGAGTGAACCTCTGGAATCGGAGGAGCCCTACAAGGTCATGACTGCTGGTGAGTTTCAATTTTTGCTTATTTTCTCAAAATTTCCCAAAAACTTATACAATTTTCATTTTTATTCAATCCAGGTCATGAAAGCCTGCCGGACGAGCCGCGCACGGAGATGAGTTCGTGCAACACCTCCTCGTGGCTGCGTGACCACAACATGGATGCGGATATCCATTCGTATGCCCGCGGCAGGCTGCTACAACGCGACGAGTACTTCTTCCGGCTGTGGGCGGAAATACCCAAGAGCAAAAAGAAGAAGAGCTCCAAATAGTCGGTGAACGACAACGAAATAAGAAACACTTTAGTCATAGATTAAGCATATTTCAATTGTATTTTATATAACAAAAGGCAAGGGGGAAAACCCCTTTGATTTTCTAGCTTTTTTGTACTTTAGTAGAGATGACGATATGTAAGGATGGTGTAATGTTAATTGCATCCCATTGTTAGCGATGCCCACGTCCCCCGGTCAAAGAGTGCGAGCGAAGAATAAACTTGATGCTCGGGCGCGTGGGCGTGGCTCAATGCTACGGATGGCCATTACATCATCCCATTAATGGACATAATTTTAAATTTTTCATTTGCATAGAGTTCCTTTTTGGTTTTATTGTTTTACTTTTCGCCTTATTTTTGTAAGCTGTGATAAATCTATCAAAATCGAAAGCGTCAAACGAAGCAACTAAAAATGAAACAGAATAAAAATGCCACCAAGCGGCGATCCATCGGCATCGGGCAACGGGAGCCAACGAGCCGCAGCCCTCCAACACCCAATGCCATCCCAATCCCAGCCAGCGTAACTCAATATCCTCTAGGGAGACAAAACAACAAATGGTGCAATTCGATATGAGTTATTTCTGGGGAGTGTGTTGCGAGTCGCTGGCTGCCGTTGCCTTTGTCCTGGATTCGCCCTGGTTGAAATTTATGGCATAGGAATATGAGGGAGTTCATACTCGTGTGTCTTTAAAGTTACCAAAGCTAAATAAATAAATTAAATAAAAAATAACAATGCATTTTTACTGAGCTACGATTCTGTCGTTAAAATAAATACAGTATTTTGGCTCTATTGAGGAGAATTTGTAATTTAAACAGCAATATTTTAATATTAATTAAGACGAATTACCCAGCTTAAGATTTTCCGACGAACAGTGGCCTTTAATCAACCGAGGCCCTTAAACAATGTCCAAAGTTATCAAAGCCAAATAAATAAACAAAAATGAATTAAAGATGAATTTTCAATAGAATACGGCTTCAAGTGGTTTCTGGTTTGGCGGAAGCTCTTTGGCTTCATTTGAAATCCACTAATTAATTCATTCGATTTCGCCCGCTCAACTCTGCATAACTTCGGGGAAAACTTTTCTCCGTTGAGCTATTTCTGAATTGTAAAACTTAAAGCCCGGGTCCGGACGGAAAAACAAAAGCCGAAGTGCTCTAGTCCACATGCGTGTGTCCAGGCGGTGGAAACTTATCTGGTGACATGGCAAATGCTGCATAAACTTTCTAGCAGAGAATTGTGTGCGAATTTAATTAAAGTTTTTGCGGTTGCCACTAATCAAAAGATATTATCTCTTCGGAGGAGCTGAGATGTAACTCCCTGGGCGGCTAGACATAGTAATTTGAGGCAACTTTTTGGCCAAGAGTCTATCTGTGAGAGCTGGCAGAGAGATGTGCAGAAAAGCCCATAAAGCTAAAGCATATTTCCGGCACTTCAAATTGCAGAAGCAAACAAAGCAGCCAAACAGAGTCTTTTTAGCCTGTTATTCAGTTATTGATACACTAAACGATCGGGAACAGCAGAGCAGGAGGAGGAGCTGCTCGAAAACGGAAATTTCATTTACTTGTTTGCTTTTTTCCTCTCTGGCCCTCCCATCAACATGGTCCTTCAGTCAATTTTTCTTTACGTTGTTATTGTGCAAAATTGAAAGCTGCTAAGCTGCTTTCGACGCTTTAAAGGCGCCTTCTTGAAGAATTTTGCAACATTTCCAGCGCACAAGGAGATACTTCTGCTTGTGCGACCCCATTAGTTATGGTTTATTAAGGTGAAGACGAGTCGGAAAGCTCTCTGCCGTAGTAACACAATTGTAAACTTGTAATAGAATTTGGCAAGTTCTGTTGAATGCATATAAAAACAAATTACACATCAACTTTATGGTGTGCACGTAGAAAATTGGGGCCCATTCTGGTTTTTCTTTTCCTATTTTTCCCTCATGACTTTCTTCGTTTCGTTCTTGTTGGGCATGTCAAGGCTCGTCAAACGTGATGGCCTACGAATAAAAACAAAATCCAAAGACATAAGAAAAGACTGTAGAAAGTTTGCTTAATTACTTCTCAAAATAATAAAGTCGACTGGGAAAGGAAAAGAGAAATGTTTTTGTTTCCCAGCAAATTTAATTATCAACTTGTAAGCTACGTAATCATGTAATGAAATATCATCTGAAAAAGTAAAAAAAAGACCGGCAGGCTTTGATAATATTATCAGTATTTTAAGGAACGTAAGTTCAGTAATGACTTGTAACACAGTTAAACCAAAATTTGTAATATTTTCTATATCTTTTGTAAAGACATTGTCTATTGACAAAATTTATAGTACCGGCCTTTTTGTATACAGATATAGTTAATCAATCCTATGGGAGCCACGTTTCTCAATCCCTACTCTCAGTGGGAGACCTCGGCTCTTAAGAAGTTCTTAAGGTGTTTCCAGAAGACTCATGCCCACTTGGACAGCGCGGAGGCTCAGCGGCTCGGGGAAAGTGCATGGGGGAAGCTTTCACTCCTCCAAAAAAAACATTTTGAAGTGGGTGATACGATTATCCTTCCAAAACATATTCTTCAAATAACTCACTGTGCAGGTAAAATCTAGTCAACCTCCGAAAAAATCAGCCATCAAACGAAGGAAACCGACGACCAAACAGAAGAGAGCCGTTTACAGTTTGCGAAATCAAGCCAAGAAGAAAACGTCATTCAAGGCCACAAAACGTATTTCGAGCCCTGTGATAGGTTCCGCCTTCATGTCCTTTCTGCGTGAATACCAAAAGATGAACGACGGCTTAGACATGAGGAAAAGGCTAAAACGTGGTGCTAGGCAATGGTCGAAACTCACGAAGGAAGAGCAAAAGAATTACAGACCCATCGTAAGGGTGTTCTAACCTAAAACTTAAACATTTTTAACCATATTCTTTTTAAAGTTTAAGAGAGTGAGAAGAAAGTAGAAGCAGCAAGGCCTTTAAATCCATGGAACTTGATTAATTGACCACAACACGGCTTAATAAGCAATATAAACTGCGACTCATTTATAAATGCTGTACATATTTGTTGATAATTATGAAGAACAAGTGAAGGAGCATTTAAATATGATCTCAAATGCAGTTAAAATAATCAGTGTTTTAATTTAGAATCATTATTACATGATGTCCTATTAAAGCCAAGAATGTCCGTCGCCCGAACTATGCTGTTAAATGTAACAAAGACGATGCCATAAAATGTTAATTACAGTGCATGTTTATTATGCCATGGCTATAGCCTCCAATGAGTCGCTTGGCCAGACATTAGCCCAGTAAAAGTATCCACACTCATTTACGATGCGCAACACGGTCCAGTCCCCAAACAGCCAGGCCGAAGCTTCTGTATATTTGTGTAATTGGCCAGGCCAAGGAGTTGGCAGCAATAAAGCCAGACATACTGACCCGGCCCATACATGCCACAAAATGCAGCGTCATAAAAGATATCAAATAAAATAAAAAACAGACAACTTCCGGTGCGGCTGTCCAGTGGCAGCATCAACCGATTTCCGTTGAGTAAAGCGAGCAAACATTTAAGGGAAACATGCCATAAACGGCAGAGAATTACTGGGCCCAGAGGAATGCCTCTCGAAACGAACTAAAATTCAAAGTGGATCTACACGACCATTAAGAATTCAGCTGGCGAATTTTAACGATTTAAATAACAATACAATTTGAGCTTTCTTTTTCGTCCAACTATTTGCCAACGTTCGAGGAGAATCAATATGCCCGACTTTGCTGCAGGCTCCCAGCAGAGCAGCATATTGTAAATATAAAATATTTATTGCCAGATTGCACACGCATCCCGCAACAGCAGTTGGTTTTATTCACCAGCACCTTCCTGCACGGAAAAGAAATGGCTGGGAAATCAATTTAAAAATGTATAAGAAGTGAAGAAACACTTTAAATCTCACTTAAAAGATCATTTAAGATTCTCTTTGACTTTAACATAATGATTTACAATGTTTATTAGTTATTTTCCCATTCCTTTAAAAAGAAACACAATCTTAAGGACACTAAAAGAGCCGTAGAGTGCAAAAACTTCTTTCTGTGCACCTGATTCTTTTCACAAGCAGATATGCAGCATACCCTGTCCATTCAGGCGCTTCCTTCCCATTGAATTCATACCATTGAAAGCATCCGCAGCGAGTACATGGCAATTTTTCCTTCTCGTCCTATTTTCCTCTTTTTTTCCTTACATGCATTTACAACCTTTGGTGGCCACACTTTGAGGCAATTCATAACATTCAGCAGAAAACCAATTTAAAATTTAATAGAGACGTTTCTGTACAAATTAACAGCAAATTTCATTGCACTCTTCTCTTCCTCTCTCCCGCTGCCATTTAAAAATCAAGAGTGCTGAAAATTAAATTTCACAAACTGTTTTCATATGTAGGTGAAGGAGGAGCTGGGCTGCCATGTAAAGACTTTTAGTGGCTTCCGCCATGGCAGTCGGGCAAGCAGCCCAAAAACTAATGAAAGTTCCTTCCTCTTTGACCCCCTGGCCACCTACCAAATGTATTTCCTTCACACATCTGATGACATCGTGTGCTAAGCACACACACTCTAACATACACCATACCCACCCAGACGTCCGTATGACTTTTTGGAGGCGAAGTAATTAAAGTCAATTGCCATTCTGCCAAAATGCGCTCAACATGGCGTATACGTAATACGATTGGGGTATGGCTCTTCCCCACATTTTCCTGTGTCAACAGCATTAGCTTCGTTGACTTTCCAGCTATTAGCAAACACCACAAACTGCGTCATAATTTATTAGAAAACAGTCTGTCAAAATTTAAGTTGGCAAAATGTTATGGCTTGAGGGCGCAAATCGCTGGAAATCATAAGCTTTATTCGTAATTTTGATTTTATACTTTTGTGCTGCGTTCAACATTTTTGTTTTACATCCGCCAATCTAGGTGCTATCCCAAATAAAGTCGAATGTTTTATGACTCTGTAATGCCGTCGTAAAAGTTCGGCTTGTGGCCAAAAACGAAAAACCGAAAGCCATTTGCATTTATCCGCAAACAACTTTGTTATGCTGTTGTCCTGGAGTTTGCTTGATTAGCTCATTATAGAGTGTTTTGACATTTACGAGCATATTTTTTGGTGAGCAGAGATTATGTCTGGACACACTTTTGAATATAAATCAACTACTGGTGAGAGATGTGCTCTGTCAAAGCGATAAGCTATTTATGGAGAGCTCGTAAACTATTTGACCTTATTTGGGTTTAACACACAACAATATTGGGAAATCTAGGAATAAGAATTAACTTTTATATACATATATCAAAAGTTTACAAAGTATATAATTTTCAAGAGATTGTCACTTTGTTTTAAATTGATATTTCTTATTCCAAAAGCGAATTCGAATTCCCGAAAATATAAATATTTTATTCTTTCTTTCTTTATTCCCATATTAATTACAGTTTCTCGCATTTTTTATTGGTAATTATTTTCCATAACTCACGAAAAAAAACTCAACGAATGAAGTTAAATATTTCTTTTTTACGACCGCAAGAATATTCCATGCAAATGCCGCAAAGTTTCCGCATCAGCTGCCATTGATATATACTTTTTATCGCAGTAATTTTTCCGCGCTTTCAACTCCGTCATCAGTCAGATGTTCCGGCCACGGTGACTTAATTTCGCTGTAAGTTCCATTGGCCTTTGCATAAATGCATTTTGATGCAGTTGGTGGCACACGAGGGACGCTAAACAGATTTGCACCTTGCATATATAAAGTCAAATTTACAAGTTCGCAACGAAAATTGCAACGCAAAGTATGCAAATGACAATGGTGCCCTGTGAAAATGTTTCTGCCGAATGAGGGTCATGGCAAGCCAGAAAAAATTCCTGAAATTTTTGGTCTTGCCCAGCTACCATCTGGCAGGCAGCAGCTGAAAATGAAGTTGTTTTCGGAAAAGGGATGGGAAAAGCCGGTAAGGAGATGAGGTTGTGGTTTGGTGGTTGGTGGGTGGTGGGCTGTGTGACTTAATGTGGATACGTGTTGGGCATTGCCAAAGATAAGTAAACGGCGAACTTAGTTTTGCCTTCCAGCTGCACAAGTGCACTGGTAATGTTTCTGTTTACGTGCTCAGCTCAGCTGCTTAAAATGCACTCCTCGGCATCGGCATTGGCATCGGCATGGGCATACGCTGCGTATGCGTGTTGTCGTTCTCAGAGTGGCAATCGAATGTTCTAATGTTTTGCAGCACATTAAATTGCCAATATGGCTTTATTGTTCTCAGATCCCCCATCTTGTCTCTCCCACCCTCTGTTCCACTGCCACTGGCAGCGATTTATGCTGTCACATTTAGTGGGTGAGTTCGGCAGAGGCCGGGGCAAGGAGCAAGTGTGAGCGGCGCCTGTGGGGCCATAACAACTCTACTCACAGTCAAACACACAGGAACGCAATAGTGCTGGCAAAGCAGAATCTGGCTGGCATTCGACATCTCATTTTGATTTGACTATTTTACTGCAACTATTTCTATAGTCAGCCCATAACTATGTCTTAATTTCCTTCTAAGCTGGCTAAGATAAAACTAAATAAGTTTCAATCTATTCAGGGTTAAAGACATAAAGTCCAGAAACTATCATGATTTAAGAAAATCAAACCATTTAAAATCAGCTAGTTTCGACAGCACTGCCTGTCGGGCCCACACAGCCATTGCCAGTCACATCGAAGCGTGTGACTCGACTGGAGTCGCTGCGTCTGCTCCAGGCTTCCATTGGCAAGACATAAAACGTGGCACTCGATGATGCCTATGGGCGACTTCGCACATCGCTTTCAACGTATATATATACTCGTACATATATAGACATAGTGGCGGTTGGTTGCCTGCGAGCATTGCCATCCTGGCCTAAACATCACTTCACAACTGCCAAGCCGAGCACATCCGGTTTCCGTTAGTTGTACAAGCTCGCCCCGCCCAGTGCCACGCCCCCCCGACTGCAGCACCTGTCTGTCAGTCGGGCTGATGTTACTTCAGGTAATATCATTTAGCCTTGTCCTGGGCGCACACGAATATGTTGGAAAAATATTATCTCGTTACAATGTTAAAAAGTATGAGGTAGAGTGTAAGGTGGACTCTTTGGTGGCTGGCTTCTTGTTTGCCCCCTTTTTTAGCATTTTTAGTTCGCCACCATTTCGCTCCTCGCCTAGTTTGCCTTTGGCTTATGAGCGGAAGTACGTGTCGCTCGTCTCAAAAGAAGCCACGATGGGGCCAAAGAGGAAAATATAGAAAAAAATGGAGAAAAACTACGCACATTTGCCAACACCACCCCCGCAGGGGATAAATAAATGTGTGTGTGCGGGATCGTGGGAGATGTTTAAATTTGATTTCAAGTGCCAGCATTTTGATGGCGAAATAAGTGAATGCGTGTTGCGGCAGCTTACGTGTCCTTGTTAAGGCCAAAACTTCCAGTTCGAGCTGAAAGTTCGAGGCGAGTCGAGAGCGTTTAAGGAAAACTTCAAGTTCAGTTTCGGAACAGGTTAAGACAAGTGAACTTAAAGCGCAAGATAGGACCGCAGAAAAACTTCAATCATTCACCGGGGGATTCAGCAAGTTTCTTCTCGGATTTTCAAAACTAAAAGGAAGTTTGTGATAAGTCCCAATTTTCAGAGCGATAAAGTTCCAAGTTATGTTCATTGAATAACTGACCAAGGCTGTCCGATAAATTTATATGATTATGATAACAACTTTTAGCTTCTCTAATAATTCTTTGATTTTTTCCACTTTTTAGGGTAAGTAAGTGAATATAAGTAGAAATACAAGAAAATTAAATTGAATTCAAGAGTTTTCTGTTATCTTGATTCTGTGCAGACACCCTGATGGCCTCTTTTCTCAGCTTTAATGCCTTGTTAATTGCCCCCAGCTTCGATTAAGCATTTAATTTTCCATCTTTCTTTATCCGTAGCTGCAGCTCTTACGTTCCCCAGTTATTGTAATTCACCATTTCCTTTAACTGGGCCACATTGCTCCCCTGGACCAGCACACTCGTCTTGTGCATGTGGCTACAGTTTGGAGCACTTGCCAGGCAGAAGTTCCCTCGAAGAAGTCGTCGCTGCGAAGGGAGAATAAGAATAACAAGCGGCAAAATGAGGAGCATAAGGAGCTGCCACTTAAGGGGCGGAATGGGTGGCCAAGAGGGTAACTGAGTGGGTGGTGAAAGTCCGCTGTTGGTGCTGCTTGCTTTTGATTTCTCATGCGTGCAACGTTTACTCAGCCGCGTTCGGTGCCCGCGAGGGTAGCCAAAATAACACACACACACACGTCCTGTCGAACTTCTGCCTTCCTTTTCAGAATCTCCGGCTCATTTTACAAAGTAATGGGTATTGCAGTTTACGGGGGTATGCGTTGCTTAAAAAAATCTTATCTCAAAGGGAAAGGGAATAAGGACAAATTAGGATAT